GTTAAATTCATTAGGATGAGAATTTTTAAAACTATTTTTCTTTTTATGATAAGGTTTTTCTCATACATTTTCAGAGCTAGATTATCTTCTACCATATTTGCCTTAGTTGATAGTGCCTTATCCCTTGTAGCAGCACACTCCTTTCGGTTGGTGTCTTTGATGATGTGCATGATAAGATCTGATAGTGACATCTGTTTATGTATGTGTTTCAACTGTTGTTTGTAGTCTATCTAGGACTATGTTTTCTGCTTTAATATCTTCAAGCAGTTTGTGGTACTCATTGATCTGGATCTTGATGTCCTTGTCTTCTAGGATCTCCCAATAGTAGTAGTTTTCAATAATGAATCTTTGTCTTATGATATCTTCGGTAGCGTATTTGAGAATCAACGAATCCCATATATCATTGATTTCCTTATAGGAACAATACACATTGAACAAATTATTAGACAATGCACTAAACAAAGTGTGTCAACATATCTTGTTTGAATAAATCCAATCTTCAATCTGTTTAGTAGGAGTATTGGAGTCAGATTTGGTAGTTGTAAGAACGAAAGTCACTCCATACATGTCTAACAGTAAAAATGCATTCTGGCCAACATAAAAAGTTTTTCTCAGATAAAACTTCAATTTTTGAAATGTTCAAGAAAGGTTTCACAAAGATAGTTTGAGTTTCGGAAACATTGTCTTTTTTGGTGTAGAATTGTTGTTGATATCTTTAATGTCAGTCATAAGTCCTTAAGACTATTATAAATACTGACAAAACACGAACAAAACTTAATTTCTGAGGCGTGTATAATTATTGTCCTTATGGACTTATCCACGATGTATTACGTAAGTTTCCCATAATACAACATGAACTTCTTATATTTTTTCGATGAACTCAAAAACTCGCAAAAAAACTCTGAAAATAATATATAAACTAAGGATAGGAAAATAATGAAAAAAGAGAAGAAAAGATGAGTGATTGTGTTTTTATGATTTTGGAAAGAGGGTAGAAACATCTATTTATGAGTATAAATAGACTCAAAAAATCCAACCTCTCATGCCAATGCCATTGGAAGTGTCAATATATGAGGTTAGAGAGATATGGTAGTTTCCGTGGATCAAGGGATAAGAACTACATGAAGTTCCAGATTTACAATAATTGAAGCCAACATTTAAGAAGAATGACTTGCATAGCTCTAGTGACCAACGGTCATGGGTCTCGAGTTCGTGGGGTTCATGAAAAATTAGGTTTTACAATACTCTATTTTTCAAACATATTCCACTCTCTGCAATAGCAGAGGTTCCATACATATTAAACTCATCTTTTGTTCATAATATTTAAGGAAAAAATTTAAATTATGACTCAAATTATTATGAATATTCTCGATGAAAATTATAATAAATAAAATCTACATTTTTTTAATATTTTTCTTCAACGATTCATATTATATTATATATATAATAATAATAATAATAATAATTATTATTATTATTATTATTATTATTATTATTAGGATGAGTGATGATGGATTTTTCGTATTAATTTTTTTTAAATCCACAAAAATATTTTATTGGAGTTAATGATGATATGAACATGAGTCGTGAGTATTTGTAGATAAAATTATTTTAAGTTGAAGGATAATAGATAAATGTGAGAAAGATTCCTACTTGAAGAAATTAATTTGAGATGACGTGTTAGTGAAAATCTCATATTGCATAAAAATATATAAGAAAAGAAACTATAAATTAATTGCAAGATTAACATTACATGAAGAAATTTTTTTACAAACTCTTTATCGTAAGGTTTTAGATAAAAATAGAACTATATTTTCTTATGAATAAGTTCATGTAGAGTAATATTAAAGAAAAAAAAGAAATTAACAATGTAATAAATTATTTTTATTTACTTTTAAAAACATACAAATTAAAATAATCTTTATAAAAAAGAAGAAGAAGTCATACTTAATATAATGACAACCTTAGTTCAATGGTCAACCTTGTATTTGATATTGAATACGAGCTTCAACGTTAGATTTGCCCACTTTAGCTTTGAAACATAAAATGTAAGAAATAAACAATGTTTTGATGGTTTTAATACCACAAATAATTGTCTTGCATGATTACAACTAACGATGCGCGTAAGCGAACGGTAAAACCAGCAAGACCATAGAGGACAATGAAGCTGGATCTACCTATTTTCCTTGCATTGATAAAAAATCAACCTTTTTCATGATTTATTTGCTTATGATGATTATTATAACGTAATCAAACTTTTCATTGCAATAACAATTCGCCAACTTTTGGATAAATAAGTGTAATATAGTTACCTACAAACAACTACAAAATATATATTATGCACCATAAATACAATTTAATTTCACCTTTAACTATTTTAAGTAGTAGATTCAATGTTTGGAGAATTAAAATCAAAGGAAAATATTTTATAGGGACTAAACCAAAATACATTTACTTTACAAAGAAAAAACCAATAGTTATAGGAGTTCAAGAGATAAAATAAAAAATAAAAAAATAAAATCATATTTACATTGTAGTAACTAAAAGCATATTTAAATCATAATTATATTTATAATCAATTATTAATAATGTATTATAATCAAAATTATTTTTATTTTAGGTAAATTTGTTAAAAAATAATTATTGTTGTATAAATGTAATTAAAAAAATAAATTTTACATGAAAAAAATTACATAAAGCTGAAAGAATTTAAAGTATCATTAATTAGTTCCATATTCATTATATATATATATATATATATATATATATATATATATATATATATATATATATACACTATGCATTTTTCGAAGTATCAAAAATAAAAAAAAATGTTTTGAATTAAGTTGAATATGTTTTTCCAATCCATTTAGTATGGAGTTGATACAGACTTAGATTGGATAGATTTCTAGGTTAACCGACTAAATATTATTTAAAATAATAATTATATAATTTATATATTAAATTAAAATTAATTCAATTTCAATATTAAAAATACATAGTTTTAAAATTTAAATGGTTTTTAAAATTAATATTTCCTAAATATTATTTTAATTAATTTATTATTTATATAGCGTATGAAATTGGTGGGATTTATCATTCATCTCTTCTTAAGCGAAATTATTAATTTTAATTAATTATATTTAAAATTAAGTTTTACTTTATTTTTTTATTTAACTATATCTATTTTTTTGTCAACATTGAAATATTTAAAATTTAATTACCTGGGAAATAAATTTTATCTATTAATATTTTGTAAAAATAATAAATTTAATTTATAAATTATTATATTTTATTCTTTCTGAATTTATTAAAGTAATAACATTTCTTTCAATTAAATGAAATTTTACTTAAACTTTTTAATTTATAACTTTCTATATAATAAACATAATGCATGCTAGTGATGATAAAATGAGAAAGACTTTATTTCTAAATAGTTGAGATTTAAGGTTTTAGCAAATAAAAAATTTGCGAAGTGTGCTTAATTCTAAAGTTTAAAGATCGAATTGGGTTTTATATGCAAAGTATCTATCAATTCATAACAAATTTTTATCAGAACAAAATATAACTCATTTCACTAATTTTTTTTTCTGAGTAATTTGTTATTTTTATCGAATGCTTAGTAAAAACAAAAGAAAGAAAGAAAGAATTAGAGAAAGAAAAAAAAAGTGAAAAAAATAAAAGAAGAAAAATAAGTGAAAATAAAGATTATTTAATTAAAAAAATAAAATGAAAATTAACGTTGTGAGATTATTTGTTTAAAAACAAGGAAATAAATATTATTTAATTATTACCCTTAATTAATATTAATGTTATTTATTTATTATTAATATTATTTATTTATTTATCATAGAAAAAGGTTTAAAAAAACAACTTAAGTGTTCGATAATTAATGATGAAACTACATAGGATAATGTTTTACAAGAGAAAACTAATTAGACGCAAAATAAACATTATGTTACCCTTTGGATGTCATTTTCCCGTTTTGGTTCGCTATTTGGTGGAAAATAACTTGTTTAGGTCTCGCACGATTCTGTTAAAAAAATCACGCTTTCCTCTTTTTCTTTCTTTCTCTTTTGCACCATTTCCTCTGCTGTTAATCTTGCAGTTAAAGATGATGGAAGTTTCAAGAGACAGATAATTTGATGAGTGGTAGAAACCCCGTGACAAAACTTATAAATTCAGACACTTTGACACTTAAATTAAGAGACCAAGAGATTTGCAAATGTTAATGAATGAGATGAAAGTGGTTTAAATGTAACAGAAACCGCGGTTTGAAGTCTGATCCCTGTGATAGAGATGTGCAGAACATGATGATGATGATGTAGGCCATACCAATAATAAATAAAACCAAAGTTATGCAGATCAGAAACCTGACAACAGTTTCCCTTTCTTAGTGCAAAAGAAAACAGCTAATCCGCGGTTTCCAATAAACAAGCACACTCTGTTATCAGGGATCCTTCTATGACATGTTTTTGGTAGATGAAATTATACGTTAAGGTGTTGCACAGTTGAATCTGGGTAAAATATATAACTAGGTCAAATGTTATTATTAGATGAGTTGAGTTTTAAAAACTTGTTCATAAACTTGTTCAAATATTATTTGTTCACACTAAAATGAATAAATCACTTATTCACCTTTAGTAATATCCCAATTAGTTATTAAATGTGTTTTCATAAATTAGACTGATACTCAAATTGGCCTAATACTGCCAAACTAGTGTGAAGCTCAAATTGACATACAGATAATCATGACTTGTATTTGTGGGACAACATAAGTCTTATATATGCATTATTTTATGAATTAAATTTCAGCATGTTTGTGCACATACCTTTGTTCTCTATATAAGGGAACCACTTCCTTTATAGACCTACAAAGTGGCACCCCAAAATCTGGTCCTAGACAAGAACATAGAACCCTTTGTTCCTCCTTCAACCTTTCTCATTTCCCTCTGTCTCTCTCTGCTCTTTTTTCTTTCTTTGTAGAGAGAACCAAAGCCATGGGAGTTCTTGACTATATTTCAGATCTTTTCTCAGTGGCACCTACCACTGGAAAGAAACGCAAACCAATGCAGGTTTCATTCACATTTTTACTGTGTGTTATATATCATGGTGTGCCTAGTTTTAAGAAAATTCTGATTTACATGCTTCTCCTTTCTCTTCCAGACTGTAGAAATCAAAGTGAAAATGGACTGTGATGGCTGTGAAAGAAGAGTTAGAAATTCTGTTGTCCACATGAAAGGTTAATATCTATGGCCATTTTATTCTCACACCAAGATTTGGTCACTTTCACAGCAAGTAATAGAAAAATAAATCAAACTATTTAGCCTCTTTGTTTTACAAAATCGTAAACTATTTGAATTTGTTTCATCTCTGACCTATGTTTTTCATCTCTAACATGGCTTTTATCTCCTGATAGAAGCATAACTTTGTTAGACATAGAAGAGTCATTTAATATAGTTTCACAGGCTAATTTATGTGAAGTGCTGAAGAAGTAGGTCCTGCAAAAGATGAGAAGTACATTTATGTATGGCTCTGTTTCTTTTAGGGAAAGTAAACACTCCTCATGAGAAAGAACAACAAAACCAAACCTACTTTAATTTTTTTTCACTCTTTTCTTGTTTCTCAACTATTCATGGCCACAAGGTGGAGTAATAAATGCAACCTATAGGTAAATCTTTTAATTCATGGCCACATGATTTAGCATCTATTTGTAGTTTTAACTAATATTTATATAATGTAAATTCAATATAAAGAGAAGTAATTTAAAAAAAATCATTATTCATCTTAAATTGTTATTTTCTTATGATCTAAGGGTCAAAAATATATATTTTTAAAAAATTATTACATTGAAAATAAATAATAATTTTTAAGAAAACTTAATAATACTGAATTATTAATTAATTGTGCATTGTGTCCTACATCAAATTTTAAAGAGATTATAGTAATTCAACACGTAATTGTTCTTCTCCTTTATATGCAACATAAGTTGAGGATTGTAGTAAACAAGTTTAAAATAATGCAGGTGTGAAGCAAGTAGAGGTGAATAGAAAGCAAAGCAAGGTAACAGTTACAGGTTATGTGGACAGAAACAGGGTCTTAAAGAAGGTTCAAAGCACAGGAAAAAGAGCAGATTTTTGGCCCTATATTCCTTACAACTTGGTGGCTTATCCTTATGTGGCTCAGGCATATGACAAGAAGGCTCCATCAGGTTATGTGAAAAACTCTGCACAAGCACTACCTGCCCCAAACTCACTCGATGAGAAACTCACCTCTCTCTTCAGTGATGAAAACCCCAATGCATGCTCAGTGATGTAAACCCCTTTCAACTTAATAATGGGTGCATCAATTTTTGTGCTATTGCAAGTTGTGTGTACGCACCAAGTTTTGGTACTGAGATAGAAGAATGTGAGAGGATTATTTTGTTGAATCACCATTATCATTATACTTGATGGTTGCCTTGTTCAAACAAATTTGTCTTGTTTTGAGGGTTATATTGTATAGGGTCTTCTCTAAGCATACCAGGTTTAGATACTGGTATAATGCTTTATGGAAGATAACTGAAGCATCATAATAAACAAATAAATAATATATTTTTCAGTATTTTCGTAACATTTCTTTGTTTTTTTCTGGTAACACTTTCTTATTCTCTTGCCACCGAGTAAAGTGTATTTGCTTCCACCGTCAACAATGGTGATGAACACAGGCTCAACTTCACCCCCATTTCAATCATTGACAGCTGGACTAGATGACAAATCCAGAATAAAATTCCCTGGACCTAAAGATATCAATCATACCCAGCTAATAAAGTTTATATAGTATGAGACACTAATTCTATCCAACAAAAACTTACCATAAAAATTTCATTGTTTTTTTAGGGTTTGCTCGCTGTTACCTTTATCAATGGTTGTTGTTATTTGTTACCACCACTGTAACCATTAGTCGACATCTTCATGAGTCTTATGGTAGATATCCTATGCTTGAAATTAATGGCAAGATCTATTCATGGTGGTTCCTCAAGTAGTAAAATGAAGTCATTTTGTAACACTCTGATTTTTATTAATCTCTAATTAACTTAATCAATTATGATTACATTGAGTTGTGATTACTTTTTTCTTTCTTCCAAAAATAACTTGTCTACTAGTTTATACATAACTTGTATTAGGGACCACCATGGTCTTGAAAAAGGACTTAAAAATATTCACTGAAGTTGCATGAATTCTATTATTCCATTCTTTTCCAAAAGCTTCAATCTGAGTTCATATATGGATTGGGACATAACCATGGAGAATAAACAAGTCCCAATAGAAGTTTTCCACGTCCATCATTGGCCCCAAAAATGCATGGAATGAGATAAAGTCATGATAATGAGCTCAGGGTTTCCTCATTACGTATTATATATTTATCTTTGGAAGATTTGAATTTGTAAAAGTGGGAATTTTATTTTTAAGGTAGAATATGTATGTATGAGATGTTATCCCATAGTTGGTGATAAGAAGGGGAGAAAAAGGAAATGGGTCCATATATTTAGGGTTTATATTCCATAGGGGTGTAGTTGGAAAAAGAAAACAGAGGTGGCACAGGATCCCATGAGATTAGAAAGAATGTGGAGAAAGCCATTCTTGCTCATTTCATTTTTCTTAGCAATTCATGACATCACTTTTCTTAGCAAGGAAGAGACATTAGGAATAGGAATGTCTATGCGTACACTCCAATTTGATCAACATATAATGTCATGTGGAATAAGGATGAAATTACTTCTTATTTCACTTTTCTGAAACTAGATTGAAGGATAGTTTCATATTTCACTTTTATCTATGGATTGCGGTATAAAGTAAGAGGTGCAGAAAGAAAATACGAACCTAGCCCATATTGTGGTTTTTGAATATTTTTTTCAGAAATTTTGTTGACTAGGGCTAGACCCCTTTATTTTCATATTTTTTTCTGCACTTGTTTCTTACTATAAATAGGTTTGGGATTATTTTTTCGAATTTTACTTTTTAGAAACTTTTTAAATTGATTTTTTGAAATGATAAAATCATATATTCTAGATTTTTTAATCTAAAATTAACAAGATTACATATTTTTGAATCGATTTATTCAAAATATTTATAAAATTTTCAATCTAAAATACTCCAAAATCATATTTTTAAACCATTACTTTCTATGAAAATAATAAGAACGTAATTGTTTTCGAATAAATATGGAATACAAAAAGTATTAAGGTGGAAGAAGGATGTGACTTCTTTTTTATTCATCTTGCTTTACACATTTTTTATAATTGTACTTAATTTAAATATTGAATTAACATGTAACTAAAATTTAAAATGAAGAATAAGAGACAAAGAATAACAAAATACATATATCTTTTTTTTCTACAAGTGCATAGAAAAAAAAATATAAAAAAACGAAATTAATTACAAAATAATTTTATTTTAAAAAAGAGAAAGTGGTGTTAAATCGTGTTTTGAAAAAGTACTTATCTATTTCGACAATTTTGTAGAAGTACACCAATTTTTGTAAATAAGAGAGCGAGTTAGTTATTCGGAAATGTAAAAAAGTTCCAAATTCACATTTCAGAAGAATTTGTTGTGTGCTGAAATGGCACTCACTCTCACCCTTTCAACTCTCTCTCATTCCTTCACCCCACGACGCTCCATCTCCAACTTCAAACCAAGGCTTTCATGCTCCCTTTCTTCTCAAGCTTTCAAGGTAACACTCTCATTCTCTCTTCTGCTTTTCTACTACTGCAAACAAATGAATAAAATAGTTATCAGTGTTGTGTTTGGGAATGATGCAGTGCAAGAGAGAGTACACGAGCGTGATGATAGTGCCGACGGGGATTGGCGCCGCTATTGGAGGTTACGCTGGTGACGCTTTGCCTGTGGCTCGCGCACTCTCCTCCATCGTTGATTGCCTTATCTCTCACCCTAATGTAACCATTTTCTCTCTTCGTTCCTCTTCTTTTATCGATTCCATTAATAAAAAAAGATATTCATTTTTAGTTTTTTTTTTTACTATTTTATCTTCTACTAATTTTAAAAACTATCCCATAGTTTGCCATTCATACAATTTTAGTATTTATAAAAATTTAATTACACTCCAGTTGTTAAAAATTAAGCAAAATAAATAAATAAATGTAGATACATATAGATAAGGCACAAAAAGCACACCCTCTTCACTTTACTTGTCAAAAGTTCAAGAACAAAAAGCAAATATTAGAATTTTTATTCTTATTAAATTTTATTGTACTTTTTTTTTTTCAAAAAATTAAGCGGTATTATCTTTTTTAAGATTTGTGTATGAGTCATAATATATAGATAACTATTTTTTTTTATCAAACATCTATTCAACTATAGATTTTTATGTTTGTTATTTACTTATCTTTTTTCATTCTTTTTTCATCATTAATAAATTTTTTTTTTAAGATTGTTTATTAAATATTTGAAAAATATTTATCGTCAAAAAATCATTTTGCTTTGTGTATTATCAATTGATAAAAAACTGTCACAAGGATCACTTTTAAAATAGCTATAATAAAAGTTGACAAGGTGACTGACAGTGTAATTCTTTTACGCTATCCATTCATTCTAATTAAATTAATTAAATTAATTAAATTAACTTTAATCTTTCGCTTATTATTATATTTTTTGTATACACGGATTGTAGAAGTACTATTCAAATTCAAAAAGGCCAACACTATTTGGTCCCACTTAAATTATAAAAAAACATTTTCTGCGACTCATTGCATGATCCCGCAATTCCTAGAGATTTTATGCTAAGTGCATTATTATGCAATCATAGAATGATAGAAAAATAAGCATTGAAATTTTGCAGGTGTTTAACGCTGCAATGCTATACTGGCCGATGCCTAATGCATTATATGTTGAAGGCTATGCACTTGATCGTTTTGCAGAAGGGTCATGGGCATTACAGCCCGTTCACCAAAACAGGGTATGATTCAAACATATGTATATATTTTTTTTATACTGATAGGAAAGATTCTGAATGTGTTGCATCAATGACTAGTTTATGTCATGTAGTGTACTCCAATGTACATGTTGCTTTCTTAGTCATGCTATTCCATTTAAAACTATGTACCAAGTTTTATCGTGTAAAGCAGGTGGGATTAGTTCTTGATGCAGGAATAGAGGAGGAACTCCGGGTTCGCCAGTTACAAGTAGCTGATGCTGCAAGGGCTTCCCTTGGATTACCTGTTGCAGAGTACATTGTCACAGACACTCCGTTGAAGGTAATAAATTATCTTATTTTAATGAGCATAATGAAATTTAAACCATCCATTAACCGAGATGAATCACGTCATATGATGTAGGTAGCTGATCTCACCTAGTGAGATAAGGCTCTGTTTGTAATGAAATGTAAATCATCCATCCCCACAATTTTTTTTCCCATTTTGCTAGATTTTTTTTTAATTTTAAACTTGTCTGTGTGACAATTTCTTATTTTGGATCTGTCAAGGATGAAACTTTTGGTGTGCTTACTTTTTAGTAGAACAAATTCTGTGCAAGTCAAAGTTATTGGATTTGTAGCTGTCAAAACTTGGCAAGAGATTCTATGCTGGGCACTAGAAAGAAAAAAGTAACATATCAGCTTTAACCGGATGAAACCATGCTAGTTTATCTTATTGTTGTGTGTGTTGTCTTTCATTTCTCTTAGTTTTTTTTTGGTTTAATTGAAATTGGAACATCTTTTGACATATTTCAGAATTCTTAAAAGGTATATGTGATTATTCTCGCCTCTCTGACTTGGTTATCTTTTAAGCTGGAGGTAGAAGTCTATATGCATGTCTAGTCTATAAATTCAGGCATCTATTATCATGATTTGGAGCTATATAAAATGCGGAGCCAAAGTTAAGAGTGAGCTTACCTCCCAATTTTATGCCTGAATTTGATTTGCATTGCAACAAATTTTACAGGTAGAGAAGTGGGTTGATCCAGAAACTGGCCAATCAACTGGGAGGATTAAGCACCCTGATTCTTTACTTAGAGCTGTTAATACTTTAGTGAATAGGTCAAAAGTGAATGCCATTGCTGTTGTTGGACGTTTCCCAGATGATGAAATTGATGAAGTAGATGACTACCGGCAGGGAATGGTAATGGCAATAAATTTAGAAGAACATAATTTGATTAATTGTGCAAGTGCCATAAGATTAAAAGAAATCACGGATGATGTTCTTTCTTTTTCTTGTTTCTTTCATATTCATCATATCTGTGATATTTGTTCTTGAAATGTAACTTGATGTTAAAAGATTCAGTCTGAATCTTATCACTGTCCTCTAAATTCCAACAGGTTTTTGTTCTTTTTTTCATTAATTTTCCTCAGTAATCCCTTGTAAGGTCACCAGTTCAGGAATGAGTCTTGTATTTGGTTACTGACATGCTTCCCCCTTTTTACCTTGTTTAGGGAATAGACCTATTGGCAGGAGTTGAGGCAGTTATAAGTCATCTAGTAGTGAAGGAGTTCCAAATTCCTTGTGCACATGCTCCTGCAATGTCTCCACTTCCCATGAGTCTATCTCTTAGTCCGAAATCAGCAGCTGAGGAGGTTGGTAAACTCTAAATAACAAATTATTTGACATCCGATTCAACTATATTAGACCGGTATAGCTTCCACTTTTAGAACTAACTGTTAGGTTAAAGTATTGTGTCGAAATAATTCATATATGAATTATAATTTTTGTTATTACTTTTAACTGTCTTCTTCTCTTATCCTTGTTTAGGAGCCCTAAACTTACAATTTTTAACAGAGTATATATGATTGATATTTTTGGTGACTAAGCAAGCATTCTCATGGTAAATTTGCTATTAATATGATAAATTTTCTGAAGCTAGTGTTCTTATTCATTTTTTGACCAGTTAAGAGAATCTGAAATCTTTTAGTTTCGTGTATATTTTAATTAAACTCAAGATATGTGTATGTAGTGTAGATTTGGTAATTATGAAGTTGATTATTATACCTAACAAATAGTATTTAAAATTTGTAGTGAATTACGTATTTAGTTGAGCAAACGGTTTCAGCAACTTTGTTATTTATCTATGTCTGCACTGTGCTGATGAGAGATGACAACTAAGATTTAGAAGTCTATATCTTAAACAAATCATACAGTTATAAGTATATCGAAAATGAAATCCCCTTATACGATGCAAGTTTAGGTAAATGGATTAGACCTGCTCAAAAACCAATTTGTAGTTAGATAAAGCCATTCTTAGTAAGGTTGGGTTAAAGTTTGAACTGTTGACAATAAACTGTTACTCATTCTTCCCCCTGCCCCTTTTTACTGGACTTTTTTCCATGTCATGTCATTCATTCATTTTCAACATTGATGTGTCCATTAAATGAATGAAAGTTTAACACTTCTAGTAGATGCTTTTTAACATTTCTTGTATTTTAATTATTAAGACGATTTTGATCTCATTATCAATTGGGGATTTTTCATTCTGTGCATTTGAATGGGTAATAGATTGGGTACACCTTCCTACCGTGTGTGCTTGCTGGCCTAAGTAATGCCCCACAATACTTGGTCATGGACTACAAATCCTTGGGAAAAGGGTGCATATTGGCAAGTGATGTGGATTCCGTAATCCTTCCCAGAGATGCTTGCGGAGGGGATGCATCTCTTGCTTTTGCTAGAAATAAAAGCAGAAAGGTATAAATGCAAGCATATTAGCTTTTTTTTTTTTCCTTATCTTTATTTTTTGGTTTGGTCAAACATTAGCAAAAACGACAATTATTGTGTTATGGTACTTTAGCTTTGATCCGCCCGGCAAATGAAACAGTCTCACCAGAAATTTTGATGAAACCGTTATTTCATAATATATGACAGTATACAATTTTCTTGCAGCCACTTATAATTACAGTGGAAGAAAATGAAACCGTGCTTGATGATACTGCAGATAAACTTGGTCTTGAAGTGGTACGTGATTTCCGTTCTATAGATTTGTTATTTTAGAAGATGTGAATAAAAGTTAAGATCTTTTATCTGTTTCAATCAAAATTCTGGAGAAATCAATTGGTAGGAAGGATCACAATTAAACCTATATGAGGACTCATTTGTCCTCTTTTTATAATGACGGAGAAAAAATAAATGCAAGTTCGGGTATTTCTCATTTTAAAATAAAAACAGAATTGGGATAGGAGTGAGATGAGTAATATAATCGCCTCCCATTTTATATTTAAATTTAAATATTAAAATATTAATATTTAAAAAAAATATTTTTTATATACAAGATATTTTTTTTATTCAATTTTCATTCTTTTATCTTTTTTAATCTCTTATACTAATTAGTTCATTATATTAATTTTTTTCCTTTTACCTTTCATTTATTCACATTTCCTTAATCTCTTCAATCAATTGGTTTTTTTCAATCTTTCCAACCAATTTATCGAATACAAAGTTAATTTTTTTTTAAATATTCTACATCAATCTCTGTAATAACTAATATTATTTTATTTATAACTTGTCTTTATTAGATTTTATCATGACATATTTTTTAGATCTTATTTATCATATATTAAATTTTATCTTAATAAAATAATTGTATTTTGAAAGATTAAAAAATTTGATAATTATACTTTTATTATTTTGAACTAATTAAATAAAAATTAACTTATTACATATTTTTTATAAATTATATATTACATATTTTTAAATATTTTTAAATCACAACTTAAAAAATAATTAATTTATATGTATAATCTAATGTTTTAATAAATAATAATAATAATAATATTAATATATTATTATTATTATAAGTATTTTATATTTGTATATAGAAAAAAATATTAAATATTTTTTTTATATATTTTTTTAATATAAATATAATAAATTAAAGTATATATTTAATTATTAATAATAATTACAAATTATAAAATTATAAATATTTATTTATAAAAAAATACATAAAAAAATATTAAAATTAATTTATTATAAATATAATTATTTTTTTAGAAATAATATAGATAAGAAAGATACTGGATGAGGTGATGAAAATCGAGATCAAACGGAGATGGAGCGTGAAAATTCAAAATCTAAGGGAAACGAAGATGAGAATGAATCCTTACTTTTTAATCTGGACGGAATTGAGGGAAGGAGCAAAAACAGTAAAAGAAAAAAGATAAGAAAAAAAAAATCAGAGAGGAAGGTCGGGGAGGCAAAATCTACCGCACCCCATGTCATGCCGGCAATCATTATTTTTACAATTTGCTCACTAAGGAAAAAAAAAGTGTTTTGACAAAAATTAAAATGGATAGCCGCATAAGATGAGAAGTAAAATAATAGCAAGTCCATTTTGGGTCATTAAAGAGCAAGTTTTTTTATGGTTGGTGCTTAAAAGACAAAATTAAATTAGTGTAGGCACCACCTGAACAGTCCATTTTTCTTCTATAGCAATTGAAATGAGAGCATTTTAGTTGATAAAATTACTCGTTCGGCAGCTTCATGTATCCAATTATTGGGAAGCCATTGGAGTTATTGCTGCTCACAAGGCAGGGATAGATCCATTTTCACTTAGACGAGATAAAGTTCTCAACATCGGGTGCAGTTCCTTAAAGTCTGTCAATGGTCACACCATGCTAAGAGAAAGAGTAGTTTCCTGAATCCTGATTAACATTTGGTCTAGTTCACATGTAGCTCTTACGAGAGACAATTTTGTTTGAATCGGTAGAAGACTTATATCCAGTCACAATATAATACACGGCTAGTATTCCCAATGAAGATATTTTCCTGATTAACATTGAGAGTTAATGCTAATGTATTGTTATTGTTTATTAATCATTTGAGGCAATAGTGTATTTGGATTTTTTTTATAGCCATATATGTATTTGATTCACATAATTTTGCTTTATCATTTTGTTTATACATTTTTGTTCCTTATATCTTTTGATGATAGTCTCTTTCAAGACTACATGGGGTGACATTGCTGGTGTTTGACCACAATACACAAACGAACTATATAATATTGATATATATTTAACCTATCTATTGAGATATTTACTACTGAATTGGTTTAATGAAAAGGTTTAAGACTCGGTACCATCTGATTTCAGACATTAATTTGGGTCTATAAAATGTATAGGCTTTATTTGTTAAACCTGAAAGCTTTACAGAAGGAAGATTAAATGTTATCTTGTCAAGTTGCCAAAAGGTTTCTCTTTCATCATGACTAGTGGTTATCGTATCACATCTAAATAACTAGTGACTCATTAACTTTTGTTTTTCTTTGAATTGTACGGTATATTAATTTATTTTCCAGCTGTATATAATAAATAGTTCTTAGAAATTTAAGTTATACATAGGATATGGACTTCGAAGGATGGCGGAAATGTGTCGGAATTATTACTATTACGTGAGATTAAATTATCATTGTTCCTTTAAAATTAGGTTTGATAATCAGTTTTTATTGACATTAATTTAGTCTTAGAAAAATGAAGTGGTTTCTTTAAAGAAAAAAAAAAAGCAATAAAATTTGTTAAATTTCACCTCTTTTGATGAAGTTTTTTTTATTTGTACGGTGAGGTTATTATACCCTTTTTCAGCATGTTTAAAGTTTCCAGTTATCTACCAATTGTGTTGGACTCTGTTGGTCATAAAGCATTAATATGATCCTGCAACCTAAAGAATTAATACCAATGTCATACAATATAGGCAGTTTACATTATTTAATCTTTCAATGATGATAAATTATATTAGTTTCATCTTGATTTTATAGTATTTTTAAAAGACAGTGTTAGACACTAACGAAAAATAGATTATTGTTATAATGTCAGCATAACCTTTGACGAACTAACATAGTTTATACAAATAAATTTATATATAAAAAGGGTTAATCTCTAGAAAAGAAGTCTTCTACTTACTAAATATATTAAAATGAACCCCAACGAAATAACATACGGATGATATTGTAGTCACTAGACATCATATATCTAGGCATGCTGAGAAACATCTTCAAAATCTTTTTTAAGATAAAAATACAAAATTGAAGTTATTTTATACATAAAAAAATCATTTATTTGAAAAAAAACTAATGTTAAAATTATTATCTAAATATATATTAATGTTAGTTAATTTATAACAATTTACTTATATTTTATTGCTTTTCTTGTACTTTTAAAAGATTTTATCCGGATAGACAGTTAACCATGTGGATTTGAATATCTGACAGTGAAAACGCCAGCAACAATCCAAGGGAAAATTTATTGGATAATGTTATTGGGTGATATATATGTGCATATCTGAATAAATCTAAACATAAAAGTAGCATTGGAAAAAACAAAACATAAAAAGGGTTGAAGAATAGCATTACTAAGAACAATCTACACATCACTTTTCCTCCAATCGCCGCAGTACCAACTCGGCAAAGTTCTGTTGCCTACAAATGCATAAATAAACCAACAAATTAAGCAAGTCAACATCAGATAAACAAATATATATATATATATATATATATATATACAAATTCTATTACATGCAAAATCTAACAAACCGAATTTGTTCCAACTTGCAACATAAACAAATATCATGTTTCTAGTACTTAACCAATCCTATAAATATTCACAGAAAAACTTAAGAGGCTCAGGCAACAAATTTGATACATCTAAGTTGATCCACCACTGCTAAGAAACCAAAATAACATAAAACCAACACTTCCAGTTAAACTTAAATGTGTTTTAAATTTTTTTGAATATTATTTTGTCCGGTTCTGTTTAGGAAGTTTGCAAATTTCCTATAATTAGATTTGTTAGAAACAAAAGATGAACAAAATTGACCACAAAGTTCAGCCAATTATCCAATTTTTTTAAGAATGTATACAAATTTCCCATAAGCGTACATATGAGAAACAAAATAATAAAACAAAATCGACAGAGTTTACCCAATTGTCCAGTTTTGAAGAGAAATTATGCAAATTTTCTAAAACCAAATATATATGATATAATCATATTAGTGAGAAATAAAATAAAAAAGAAATAATAATACAAAATTGATAATAAAATTCAATTATTCATAAATCTCCGACTTGCTGTAGACATATCTGAAACAGCCACTAACATATCAAAATAACTACGAACATAAGAATCCATCATGTCAAGTGGAGGTAACATGTCAACATATCAAAATATACATTTATAATTTATTTTTAACTGATAATTTGGTATGAACTGTATTTTGTATATTATTTTTGTGAATAACTATTAATGTGTTTTCAAATAAACATTATTTAAAGATAATTGCATTTGCATATAATTATTTTATATTACATAATAAATTATGTGTATTTATCATTTTAAATAATTTGTAATAAAATATATTATGAATAAAATAACTTTTTTATTGTGAAAAAAGGGTGATTATTATTATTATTATTATTATTTGTTTTTATATTACATGTAATTTTTAATATATTATACCAAATAAATTTAAAAATATAAAACATTTTTATTATTTGATTATTTCAGTCTTCGAATATAAAGTCATTGTTTGTGATATACTAAAAAAAAATTATATTGCAATCATTCACAATTAAAATTATAATATCAAAAGTAATATTCAAGTAAATTATAAGTGTCTAAGTAAATTATTATTCTAAAAAATAAAAGTTATTGAATGGAAAAGTAAGAATAATATTAAAAGCCAAAAAAAAAACTGTTGATAATGTATTAAAAAATAAAATTAAATTATAAAAGTAAACTATATGCGAATGACCTTATTTATGTAAAATAGTAAATACATTATATATTATTGAATCTAAAAATACTCTAATTATTTTAATTAAAAATATTATCACCTTAATTATATTAATTAACACTTTCTATTTTATTGCTAAACTAATTATAGTTAGTAGTAAAGATTAAAAAAGGAAACTTAAAAAATATCAAGATCTAAAAAAAATAATATTTTTGCGAAGACTAAAACAGAACTTTTTTTTTGGAGGAAACTTAAGAAATATTTAAATCTTCAAATTATAACACCCATGAGGCCATATGATAGAATATTAGACACCACGAATGAAATCAAGAAATTTAACCTACTTCCTTTCTCTGTGCTTTGGGCTAGGACGAGAATACTTTAGATAACCATCCCAAGGAACCTTTTTGAGGCCAGCACGTAATGAGATTATGTCTCTCACCCTGTATAATTAATTAAATAGGATCTATCTCAAGACCAAGAGGAAGCCAACATATATCTCCCAGCATAACAGTCAGGATTAAAATAACTTACCTTTCTGCAAACTCAATGGGTGTCTCTCCTGGCTTCAGATTTTGTGGCTCCAAGTACCAAACATCACAAACAACTGCCCAAGATGTCATTAGCTGCAGTAGATGCATAGTGAACGATTGCCTGAAAATGCACGAAATGCAAAGTTATACACAGAAAAACAGCCTTTTAGAGAACATTAAATGTGAGAAGCATCTTCTTACTTTCTACTATTCCAAAAAGCATCAACAAAAATTTTATTGTACTTGATTGCAACTGGGCAAACTGTGCAGCCAAGTTCAAATGCACCCTAGACGCCATTAAAAATTAGAAAGCTTCAATATAAATTTATTGAGTACAGAAACGGTAACAGAAGTCAGCAGGTACAAAATAAAAAAATAAAAAATCTATTCCGAAAATAAGATAGGAGAACATAGGCATTTTACTTGGACAGAAAATGCAAATAATTCACATACCTTCTTGAACATGACTGTATAGTGATTATTTACACAAGTTCCTTCAGGAAATATGAGAAGGGGGTTGTTATCAGCTCCCTGGACATGATCCCTCAATCTGAGATATGAAATATTGTGTATGTAAAAAGGAACCAGATCTGAAATAGATTTTCTAACATCTTTATTTATACTCACTTCTTTGCTACAATTTCCCGATCCTTTGCCTCTGTTCGGTTGAACCAGATGCATCCTAGACTCTCCAAGATAGTACTTTGCAATAATCCTGCACAATAGCTAATTTTTTTAAAGAGATCATAAATATATATATATATATATATATATATATATATATATATATATTGTATTATATTATATTATATACCCACACCCACATACATATATATATATATATATATATATGTATATATCTTTTTTTTTCAAAAAAGATGGAAGTGTTAAATCATCCCTAATTTTCTTCAACTTTGCACAACTTCCAGACAGCCATTTAGACTGCCCAACAGCAAAATATAGGGCTTAAACCTAAGTTTTTTTCATTTTATTTTTTTTGCATATTTGGTTGAACTATTGACCTTCTTTAATAAAGGTAAAACTTTGTCTATCATATTTCTAACATAGATGCCAGCTCTATATGCTTACCAACCCATCCAGGATGTTTCTGCATAATAACAGCAAAAGCAGTCATCTGTTCTAAGACAATAAAATCAATCATGGAAGTATGGTTGGCTACAAAAACCTGCTCAACAAATGAAGGGTTAAATTAGTAATAGATAATATTTACTCTTTCTTGAATATGTAAATAAGGATAACATTAATCAAACCTGCTTTGGTCGCCTGCTAGGCCTTGGTCCATGATACTTTACAACCCCAGTCCAAGATGCAACAAAGAAACTGCACATCATCTCTACCAAAGACCTCTGAAGGAAATGAACAATTTACGGCACACATAAATTGATCAACAAAAGGACAATGTGCCAGTGTTAAATACTCAGCAAAGGGAAAAAAGAAAATGTTGAGACTATTCCCTATTCATGCAATGAAAAACAAGAATAGGAAAACAACATGTACAATGCACTCCACTGCATACGGCATTCACCAATTAAGTAAACCAATACACAGAGGACAAATTAAATTATGACCACAAATAAAATGGCAAAAAGGTACGAAACTTCAACAATAAAAGAAGATACCTTGTACACTAGTGGTTTTCAATTTCATCATTTAACATGTACTCACTGTCCCATTAGTCTAACTAATCTTAATCATTTGAATTTTAAATTGTGGCCATTCAATAATTTTTTTCTTTTCCAACAAACTAAACTATTAATTGGATGTCAATATTCTTCTTCCAAGGGGGAAAAAACATTTCATTATTTATAGTAAAAATAAAAGTGGAAAAGTAAGGCAAAATGTTGAAGCTAGATAATAGATACTTGAAACCAAATGGATCTTTAAATTTACAATGGTCAAATAGAAGTACACAAGGGATACCAAATTTGGACACAATCTGAAGTATATATCCCATAGTTATCAATCTCAAATAGTAGCAGTTAGCAACCAACCCCAAAAGCACTACAGCAGGATATTCATAATTAACAATACGAAGGTTTTGTTAAGATCTTAATCAGAGGATGAAAATGTCAACTGTGCCCACCAAATGACTAAAGGAAAAAATAGATTTTCAAAGATGTCGCACAGTACACCACTGTTGCATGAAGAACAGCTGCGATTTTTGGCTGTTTTGATACTGCAAAAACTGCTATTAGAAGACACATTACCATACAAAATTCTGCTCTGCCTCGCAACCCTGCTACAAATAGCTATTTATAACTTATTTTAGGAAACATTATAAGCATGTCATACAAATTAAATATTATTAGCATTACAGACAAATAAACCAGAAATTTATCATCCTTCAAGGTAATATCTATCAGAATGTTAAAATGTCAAAAGCTTAATTACATTTCATGCAACTCAGCTGCGGGAATTTTCATCAAGTGTAGTTTTAGTAATAAGATGGAGACTAATGTTAAGCAAAATGTTCAAATAGAAAAAGATGGAATCAAGAATAAGTTGAATATGCACCTCAATACTTCTCCTTAATTTGTCATGTCCTTTCAATAGGAAGTGCACTGGAATGAAGGATGAAAGAAATATTATCCATCCTAGTGTTAACCCTATAACCCTGCAGTGTCAATTAGGATGGCATCAATTGGACAGAAAATGACTGCAAAGTAACTCATTAACCGTATCTCTAAGAGAAAATATCTTCGATTCTGCGGCTGTATATTTTTCTGTATATTTCCCTAGTTGGCTAATATTAGAGATTGTATATCCGAATTTCCTAATATTAGATGTAAACCATTTACTAGTCATCGTAAGGACTTTCTCAAGCAATTCAGAACGGAAAACCTTTTCACTATATCAATGTGGAAAGGAGTAAAGTTCAAATTCCTGATAATCATATTTTTCTAAGACAGTTAATCTCAATACCTGATTCTACAAGGGAAAAAAGCCATTAAAAATTTGCTAGGAAAATTCCAGATTTCTTAGTTATTATACAAATATGATACATGCACTAGGATTTAGGAATAAGTCTAACCTGATAGGGAACAGAATCAAGTATCGAATCACAACTCCAAAACACCACAAAGGAAACAAATATACATTCCAGTTCCATGGTTCCGGAGGATTAGACTTGAAGCATCTTGTGAATGAGTCCTGCCCAACATTAAAAGAACTAAACCAATGAGCAAACCACCAAAGCCTAGCCGAGGACACAAACACATATATTCTATCCCAAAATTGAGCTTTTAAGATAGAAATTTGCTGATTTCTGCAATGACCTAAAACAATATTGGAATGAAACATGCAATCTGGGAGAGATTATATTTGTAGAAGCAGGACAATGTTCAGAATTTAAAAGATGCAGACCTCATTATGTTTGATATTATGTTCTCACTATAATAATATCAACATTAGTTGCTGATTTAGGTCTCTGAAAGAAAATACTGGCACCTCAAAACACAAAAAAAATAGTAAAAAAAATAAAATAAAAGACCAATGTAAAAGCTTACATCTACAATAGCACCTGCTGCCTCAGACAAAGTAGGAGAAATATTGAGTAAATCATGCCTGAAAAAGTATCAGAAAGAAACTAGGAATATTAAAACGATGCTTGGAAATTTCTTCTCTAATAGCTCCACTGAAGAAAATACTCCTTTTTCATTTCAAATTTATGTTCAGTATCAAAATAACAGTACAAGCAAGACAAGTAAACTGAGATAGCATACAGGAAAAGTTTTCCATGAGGTTCTTGTTGAATGGTGGACCCAGAAGGGAGGTAATCCTCAATGTTTGGTCGATCAAGATCCAGTTCAGAGCTAGAAGACTTGAGTGTCCCTGGGTTATTCATCAGAGCTGTGCTATCACTTTTTTTCTTCCAGTGACTTCTTGAAGGGACAGGCAACGTTAATATACACTTTTGATCCTGAAAACATTGATCCACTTTCCACTTAGTTACCAACGAATTAATTAATTCGATTGAATCCTCAAAAAATTCAGAAATTTCAATAAGGTCTAATTCCAAATGAAATAGTCCGTTCGTACAAGCTAGAAGTATTTTGGGGAGCTTTTCTACTAGAAATAAAGAGCTTTTTTTGGTAGAGAAACTCTCAAAAGCACTTCTAACATGGTAATCAAAGAGACATACCCGAGTTCATATTCGAATATGCTAATCAATGTTGTATTAAACATTTACCATCACATAGGTTATGTTGACTTCAATAAACTAGGTAAAAAGCAAATGTCGACCTAACTAAACATAAGAAGCCTATTTAAACATTATAAAAAATTCAACTGACAATATTATAGTTGTGTTCTAGAACACTTAACAATACAAACCTATTTTATTTTTCCAAATTGAAGAGTGGGATGACGGTCCCTATCCCACAATCTACAGATGACTTTTTTCTCTATTGACTCTGCAACCGCAACACAACAGCCATAAGTAACCGTCTCAAAGATAGTACAAGATCATCTACAGGGAGATAATAGTGAATCAAAGAATACCCCAGAATTCCAAGAACTGAACCTGAAAAGCAGGAAAGTCGAGGTACACACTGCTTCAAACCATTATTACAAATATGGACACTCTCAGTTTACACAACAAGACTAGCTACCAGTCTAATGTCATTTTCTCTCAGCACCTTATAATGTAACATAACAACAATGTTTTCTCAGTCAGAACTTGACTACATTATATTCTACTCAAGAACCATTATTCAGTTACATCTTCCAATTGAATTAACACAAAGCAATGCTGCGGAAACCAAATGCTAAACACAGAGTTATATTTGGATAAATTTGTCCATTAACACTTATAGCATAAAAAATAAAACAAAAATAAATCAAACTTTTTCTATCGCACCGTAACTTTTGGAGAAGTTAGATAAAAGAGCTTCTACAAAAGCTGAAAGCTTGTCACAAATTCAATTTCATCTTTATCATCAACCGTAGTGCAGCAGACAGTTACTTAGATGCAATCATACAACAGATTCTGTTCGAACTCAACGGATTACACATTTTAAACATTAAGATCTCCATATAAAGTAAACACTTATGGTAACTGGGGAGTAACCTAAAATCTCAAACCCTATTGATTTTTACTTAAAATTGCAATAAGGTATGTTCTTCTGCTTGGGAAGGTTCATTTTGTTTACCTTCATAGTTTAGTGCACGATCGATCTAGATTCGTGTCGATGCTAAACGATGAATAGCATATGTGAGAGTGAAGCTTTAAAGAGAAAGAAGAAATTCAAATCAATGACGGCTTAAGAAACACTGAAAATCATAGCGCGTGAAGAAGAAGAAGAAGAAGAAGAAGAAGAAGAAGAAGAAGAATTAGAAGAAGAAGAGAAATTTACCTATCGCGGTTTGAGTTTTTGGGAGCTTCTCGCGGAGGTTGGAGATTGGGTTTGCTTGTCCTATCGATGATCGATGAATGGAATCCACCTCTTTCTTCTTCTTTTTTCTCTGTTTATTTGTTTACCAAGTAAAAACCAAACGAACTCTTCCCTACTATTTTTTCATTTTTTATTTTTTATTCTAATTTTTAAGGACCGTATCTGATTAAGACAGTTGCATATAAGGAAAAATATATTTTTATATAAATTTCATTTTAAAATGAAAGAAATTCTTACATTATAGTATTTTTCTGTATACATTAATAATTTAAATTAGAATTATCATGTAATTATTATCAAAGAGTTTATATATGTTATTTTTTTACAATAGCATCAATTTTCGTTTTAAAATATATTATTTAGATAATGTATTGTAAATTTTTATTTATTTTCTTAATTTATATATATGAAGTGAGCATTTTTAAGAATAAGTATAAGAGGTTTACTGATTTATTTTCATGTTTATTTTTTTATAATAAAATAATTAAAATAATTATTTTTAAGAATGAATTATATTTTTAGTAAATAAATTATTTATATATATACTCTAATTTCTCAGGAATTTTTAAACATATATATATATATATATATATATATATATATGTTATTAAAGTAAAAAAATAAATAAAAATTGTTGCATTTCTTTCTCTAAACAAATGTTAAACCACTTAAAAAAGAACCGGAGTATTTCTTTTAATTTATACATTCTAGGCAAGAAGCTCCATGGCCCCAAAATTTCAAATTATTTTTAAAATTAAATTTTAATTTGTAATTTTTTTTATTTTTTCAAATAATTTTTTACTTTTTAAAATATTTTTTACTTTTAAAATATTTTATATTTTTTTAATATATACATATATATATATATATATATACGTACATATATATATATATATATATAAAATATTTTAATGTTGGTTCACTTAAATCTACTGTTATTGTTTGGATAAAGAATAAATCATAAATGATATTTTTTATTACAGTTTGAATAAGTTTAATATTTTTAACAATGGTTCAATTAAAAGTACAATTATTTATCTTCTCAACTTTAAAATAATAATAATAATTTTGTTTGTAAAAAAAAAAACATGTAATTTAAACTATTAAAATCTAGCATGTTGCTATAAGCAGCAATATAGGTTTTGGTTAATTTAGTGACGCATATTTTCCTTTTAAAGAAAAAGTTGTAAATTTTTTGTGATGATAATTGTAACCATGGTGCAAAATTTGGCTAAAACGGTGTATTCGTGCACAACAATCTAACCAGTAGGAAAGAGAAAGAGAGAGGCTGAGCACAAATCAAGGGGCTATGACGTGCATTCCAAACTGCATGCAAAGATCTCAGAGAAGCCATTTTCGAACCATGAATTTTCTCTCCTCCAAAAACAATATGTTCCTTCATGCTTTTGCTTTTCTCAGCCATTCTAATTAGCCACCTTTATGCATGCACGGAAATTCATACTCCCATAATTATCCACCTACAATGATAACAAAACAAAAGATAAGACAGGTGCATTGATTGCAACATCATCATCATCATAAGCATTCCTAACAGTGATCAAACACATGAATGTGAAGGAAGGAAGAGACAAAAGTATTGGCAGAGATGAAAGTTTCATCAAATTCTTCAAAAAAGGGTGGTAAGCCAGCCCAAGGAGTGAACTTTTTAATACACGTACTTTAGGCAGGTTTGTGACCCTTTCAAGAGATGATAACATTGACATGTCTGGTGATTTTTCAGGCCCGAATTACACTGTGATGATGCCTCCCACCCCAGATAACCAACCAGAAACCTCTGATTCCAAGCATGATGGTGTAGGAGGGACCACAAGGTTTGCCGCAGAATCTCAGCAGGAAGGAATGGATGGTGGGGGTGGTGGCGGGGGGGCTAAGACCTCCTCTGTGTTGAGTTCAGTGAATAACAAGTCCATGCTGCTGAGGAGCCAGACTCAAGATTTTGATCATACTCGATGGTTGTTTGAGTCCAAAGGCACTTATGGGATAGGGAATGCATTTTGGCAGGAAGATCAGAATTCTTTTGAAGAAGGAGTGAGCATGGCAGATTTCCTGGACAAACCTTGGAAACCACTAACTAGGAAGATTAGAATCCCAGGGTCTATACTTAGCCCTTACAGGTATGCATGCACAATTTTCATAGCTAATCATATCTGCAGATTATGTCATCGTTTTTTTATTTATTAAGGAACCACATGATGTTATATATGCCTGATATTTTTTTTCTTTTTAAGAACACCTTGCTTTACATTTCAGCATATTAAACTATTTATTTGATTCTTACAGTGTTGTCTCATTTTAACTTTTATTCCTTAATTTATCGAAGAAAAATTGTAAGTTTTAGTCCTTAAATTTCCATGGCAGTTTTAACAATCTCACATTAAATAAAGGCAATTGTAAGATTCATAGGAATAGGAATAATTGAACCTTTGTACAATTATAAACATACAAGGACTTTTGATTTTGACATCCTATTCCAATTTAAAATTATTTTAACTTTGTATAATACATTCATTATGATATTATTATTATATTGTTCTTATTTATTCTCTTTTTACTATCTTTAGTACTTTTGACATAGCTGTATTATTCTACCCAACTACGTCAGCTTAACATGAAAAATTATTTACGACCATTAGGAATCCTATAACAATAAATTAAGTCTACTGCTTAAAAATACTGTTAGAAAAATATAGTCAACAACGTATATTTTTCTTTTTATTTTTTATTTTTGAGTACAATAATAATATTACATTCTTGAATATATATATATATATATATATATATATATATATATATATAATAGGAATAAGCAATATCGATTATAAAGCTCCAATTATTACCCACAAAATGGTGAAAGAAATAACCATAATAAAAAATTATTCAAAAATATTTGTTATTCATTTCTTAAATGATGTATGTCTATTTTTTTTTATATATTCCGTAAATTAGAAAATAAATGTTGAATTTTCAACTTGAAAATAAGAAAATGAATTTGTCGAGGTCTTAAAATTTTAGTATAAATATCTACTAGTTAATATAAGGAATGATATGACAAAATATAGGAAGTTACCTAATAAATCATTTTGAGTTGATATAAGAAGTAATCCAATAAATGATTGAGGTTCTCCCTTATGACAATTCAATTTAATATGTTTTTGTATCTTTATAGAATACCATGTTAGTCCCAATAGGTTGTTGCAATCTAATAAAACTTGAGTGTATCCTTTTTCTACCAAATGAGTTTTGTGTGTCTCAACAATTCCATTTGTTTTGTATTTGGTCTTGAAAACGCTCTTACATCCTTTTGATAATTTTGTTTAATTTGCATTAAGCTTAAGGGCTAATAACTCAAATTAAATAGAATTTTCCAATAGTCACCCAATTTTCTCATTATAATTCATTGGATCAATATAGGAAGACAAATACATGACAAAGGATGAAAATAGGTGATGAATAATGATATAGAATAGATGAAATTGTGAGTGTGATTTTTAGAAGATGCATTAATGCTAATATTACAATAGAAGTCCTTCAAATAACTAGGAGACCTTCTTGTTCTTGTATTAGATTGAAAATTAGGTTTGACGGAATAATTTATTTCAGTATTTGAAGAAAATATTGTTTCGTTTAAATTGGACGAAGTATCTACATATTCTTTAATACCTATGTTGAAATAAAGAAAAATACATTTACATGCTCTTAAATCAAATTTTGTTTTTTATATAGATGCGGTATTGGCCAAATATAAGAAATATTCAATTAAAGATATTTTTATAAAGTATCATACGTGGAGATGAATTTTTCAAGAGTTATAAGTAACATGTTGTCAATGTAGGCAACATGTAAAATGACACAAGACCAATATACTTTTAGCAAATTAGATGTAAGTATCAAAAGCTTTTCTACATTTGACAAATGACCATGTTTTGTTTTTTCATCAACATTATCATGTTCAGTTGTATTAGCATAAGGTGTTTGATTCCATGTGAATCATAAAATTTCATTCATACTAAATTCAATTTCATTATTACTTCTTATGATTTTTATAATAGAATCAAATTGGTTTTGAATTAAATAAACAAAATTCTACAAAGATTTTGATGTTTCAAATTTTTGTTTCGAAGGAAAAAGCCAAGTGTATAATGAATTATTATCAGTCAGTATAATCAAATGTGATTACACATTTGAAATAGATAATAAATTAAAACTGAAATACGGATATCATGAAGAACATGATATGGAGTAAAAACAATATTGATAGAATAATTAGTAACAATTTTGTTTCCATTTGATAATGTTACATGAATCAGTTTAATATGATGAATAGAAGTGAAATAAGATAAACAAGAATAAATATGATAATTATTTCCTTTATCAAGAAGCTAAGAATTAAACGATGGAAAAATTTACCAAATTGTGCAGAAGTAGTAGAAGGATTAAGATGGGTGAAACTTACTGATATTAGAATTTGATAAAGTGTGTCTATATGCTGCACCTTAATTGCTGCAATTGCTGATAAATGCTAAATTTAGGACCTTATGAATTGCAATAATAATTAGCATTTGGAGGTTATGACAAATTTCTGCAATATGAATTAATTTTTTTGTTGTGAACAGATTGTTGGTGGTTATCCGTATGATAATCCTAGCTTTCTTTCTAACTTGGCGAATTCGGAACCCCAACCATGAAGCTATGTGGTTGTGGGGAATATCAATTGTGTGTGAGATTTGGTTTGCTTTCTCTTGGCTTCTTGATGTCCTCCCCAAAATGAACCCAATAAACAGAAGCACAGACCTTGCTGCATTGCATGACAAGTTTGATCAACCAACTGATAACAACCCGACTGGTCGCTCAGACTTGCCTGGCGTTGATGTTTTTGTGTCCACTGCTGACCCTGAAAAGGAGCCACCTCTTGTCACTGCCAACACCATTCTTTCCATTCTTGGTGTCAACTATCCAATTGAAAAGGTATCATGTTACATTTCAGATGATGGTGGTGCCATACTCACATTTGAAGCCATGGCTGAAGCTGTCAAATTTGCTGAGGTTAGTTTACAATTATTTTTTTCCAAAAATTGTAAAATTATTGTACATATAATTTCTTATATATCTCATAAATATGTTTTGATTATAATTCTTTTGTTGCAAGGATAATAGTATGTCATATACTTTTGAATTAAGCTACTTCAGAGAATTAAGGAATGCTACATCAAACATGAGACAAGTTTTATTCAATTTAGGTTGATTATGAGACAACATAAACTAAGTTCTTGATATGCACGCACAGGTTTGGGTACCCTTTTGTAGAAAACACAACATTGAGCCAAGGAATCCTGATGCTTACTTCAATTTGAAGAAAGACCCCACAAAGAACAAGAAACGGCACGACTTTGTGAAGGACCGTAGATGGATCAAGAGAGAGTATGATGAATTTAAGGTCAGAGTCAATGGACTTCCTGAGGTGATAAGCAAAAGAAGTAAATCGCACAACTTTAAAGAGGAGAGGAAAGCAAAGCAGTTAGCTAAGGAGAAAAATGGAGGCACTCTACCTGCAGATTACACTAGTGATGTCCCTAAAGCTACATGGATGGCTGATGGCACTCACTGGCCAGGGACTTGGCATGGTCCTGTACCTGATCACACTAAGGGTGACCATGCTGGAATCTTGCAGGTATATATTATCTACTTTCTCACTTTAAAAAAAAATTTGTCCCTAGTTTTTTCTACTTCAGTATGTTTGTTGGTCAACTGAAATTGGATGAATTTGATTTTATTATGATGGCATGACATCATTGGCTTGTATTACGTCATACAACATTTGAGTTTTTATAGTTTCTTTAATGGTCCAGACTCAGTAACCAACACCAAATGAAAACATGATGGTAAAGGACCAATCTTTAGTAGAGAAACTACAAAGACTAAATACTAGATATTTAAAGCAGAGGAGGAACAACAAAGTTTGAGAAAACTGTAAATAAAACTAGTTAAATCTTCTTCTTTCTTCTGTCTACTTTGTAGTCAGATTAACTTGATTACATGGAGCCATAGGGAATTAACACTGAGTATGCATGTTTATTACATACAGATAATGAGTAAGGTCCCAGAACATGATCCTGTAATGGGCTATGCAGATGAGAAAAAGCTAGATTTCACAGGTATAGACATCAGGATTCCAATGTTTGCATATGTCTCGAGAGAGAAGAGACCCGGGTATGATCATAACAAGAAAGCAGGAGCCATGAATGCTATGGTTCGAGCCTCGGCTATATTGTCTAATGGACCATTCATTCTCAACTTGGATTGTGACCACTACTTCTACAATTCTCTTGCTTTGAAGGAGGGAATGTGCTTCATGATGGACCGTGGCGGTGATCGCGTATGTTACATACAGTTTCCACAAAGATTTGAAGGGATTGATCCTTCTGATCGATATGCAAATCACAACACAGTCTTCTTCGATGGTAAAAACAAAATCCAAGCTGTCACATATATCTTGTTATCCATTATTCATTTGAAGCAATACAAGATCACATCATATGTATGGATAAAGTTCTGCACAAATACTTCTATAAAAGAAATAATAAGAATAAACTATATATTTATTTTTTCTGAAGATATTTTTGAAGAAGTTTGTCCAAGCATATTATTAGTGGTTTGTCACAATGCTATGATTTCGATTTCTTTGGTAGGATGAGCTTGTATTTAAGAATGTGTAATTCATTAGGAAATATGAGAGCTTTGGATGGTCTCCAAGGTCCAATGTATGTGGGAACAGGTTGCATGTTTAGGAGGTATGCACTCTATGGATTTGAACCACCGAGATTCATTGAGCACACTGGTGTGTTTGGAAGAGTGAAAACCAAGGTGAACTGCAATGCACCACACGCAAAATCTGATGATGACACGCAACCCCTGTCATCTGATTCAGAAATGGGTTATCCACAAAAGTTTGGAAGCTCAGTTATGTTCCAAGATTCCATAACTGTTGCTGAATACAACGGAAGGCCCCTTGCTGATCACAAATCTGTGAAGAATGGAAGGCCACCTGGGGCACTTCTCGCACCACGTCCACCTTTGGATGCCCCCACTGTTGCTGAGGCCATTGCTGTCATCTCATGCTGGTAACTACTTACAAGTCTTATACAACCAAAACATAAATCATATTCTCATAAATTCAACTACGCTAAGGAGTTGTTGTTGGATAAAATAATCCATCACAGACTTTATGAGTATGTCAACTAAATTGGTCACAGTTTGTGACATAAATTAATTTTAGATTATGGAATTTGATTTTTTTTTCTCTTTCTAAAATGTTTATGAAAAAAATTTCTTCAAATAAGCTCTATGTGAGCTAAATGTCACAAGTTATCGCCAAAGATTATTGGTTCTTTTGACAATCTAGCATTGTCCTATCATCAAACACTCTCTTGTCTATCCATCTTTTAGGAGTTGGTGAATAGCATAGTGAGACAGGACAGAACTACTCATCCATATCGCAGTCTCAAAACATCCATATGTCAAAATTTGTAGCAAAGTTTTTCTAGTTTTTGGTTGTCTAGCATTTTCCTTTCACGGATTATATACTCCTTGTTGGTTATGCATAGAGAGAAAACCAAGGAAATGATGATATGTTGATAATGCAGGTATGAGGACAAGACAGAATGGGGGGATAGGGTAGGTTGGATTTACGGGTCAGTGACTGAGGATGTGGTGACTGGTTACAGGATGCACAACCGTGGTTGGAGATCAATTTATTGCATCACAAAGAGAGATGCTTTTCGCGGCACTGCACCTATAAACCTCACTGATCGCCTGCACCAAGTGCTGAGATGGGCCACAGGTTCTGTGGAGATTTTCTTCTCGAGAAACAACGCCTTCTTCGCTAGTAGGCGCCTCAAGTTCTTGCAGAGAATTTCGTACCTTAATGTTGGCATCTACCCCTTCACCTCTGTGTTTTTGGTGGTGTATTGCTTCATTCCTGCACTCTCCCTTTTCTCTGGACAGTTCATAGTGGACGGCTTGAATGTGGCTTTCTTGACGTATCTTTTACTCATCACCGTTTGCCTCACTCTCATTTCCCTTCTTGAAGTGAAATGGTCAGGCATTGCCCTTGAGGAATGGTGGCGCAATGAGCAGTTTTGGGTCATTGGTGGCACTAGTGCTCATCTTGTTGCTGTCATACAAGGTTTGCTAAAGGTTATAGCTGGCATAGAGATTTCCTTTACCTTAACCTCTAAGTCAGCAGCTGATGAAGATGCGGATGAATTTGCTGATCTACACATTGTCAAATGGACAAGTCTCTTCATCATGCCTCTAACGATTATCATCATTAACCTTATTGCTTTGGTCATGGGGTTCTTAAGGACTGTGTTCAGTGTGATACCACAGTGGAATAAGCTCTTGGGAAGCATGTTCTTCAGCTTCTGGGTGCTGTCTCATATGTACCCTTTTGCTAAAGGGTTGATGGGAAAGAGAGGAAGGGTGCCCACAATTATTTATGTTTGGTCAGGAATTCTCTCCATTACCATTGCACTCCTTTGGATCACAATTGACCCTCCAACTGACACTATCGAAGCAGGAAGTATGAGATGATACTTCTGAAGATGCATTTGGGAGCCAGCATAAAGATCTATTGCAAATACTTTTGAAGGTAATTTCTATTGTGACAGAAATAAAGGAATCTTGTGGAGCCTTTTTCTTCATTTCTTGTAGATTGAAACGCAAAACAAAAAATAGCCGACTCCTCCTATGAACGTGAGAAATGTACAATATAGACAAGTTCTTTGAAATTGCTCATGGTCTGTACAAATATTTTTATGTTTATATATAAATCTGTAAATTTGTGAGAAAGTAAACAGAAATAAAGGATAGTAGATGGCACACCTTTCACTTCTACCTCTACAGAAAGAAGTGCAAAAGCCAACATGAACAATTGATAGAAAAGAAGTTATTCTGCAATTGCTTATGGTAATGTTGAAATATTTTTGGACATTTATTTACAGAGCTGTTCTTTTATTCAAATCCGCACAACAATATATACACATCAATGCCTGAAGATGGAAGCAGAGTGTGAGCTTCATGATTAATATTTAAAAGTAAACAAGTTTGCCAAGAGAACATATAGTTGACTTTTATTTTTATATTGAATGAATGTTAAATTTTATTTTTATGGTATAACTAATTAAAAAATCCAAATCAAACATTTTAATTTATTGATAATGCGTGTGAAATTTTTAATTTATACATTTTATTTATTTAAAATATAAATCATTTTATGCAATCTTAAATTTAGAAAAAAAATATTGACATATAAAGTTGAAAAATAATTTATATGTTTTTTTACTCGATTAAACCGTGTTAAATTATCTACTGTCCTGACTGAGTCGCCGATTCCAAATTTCACCATACTGATCCCAACAGAGGTTGCGAACTAGACCTAAGGAAGTTAAAATTTTTTGAAAAATCTAAACCATATAAAAGTTGAATATTTTAGGATAGTTGCTAAGTTAATATTGGATAACGATAGTGTTGAATAATAGTTTGTCATACATGTGGTGTAACCATTGTCCAAAATACCTTTATATTTTTTTTAGATGTGTAGTTGGAATGTTACGTTGATGTATTTCTTTTGGCCTACTATATAATTACAATTTTCATGATATTCAAGGGGTTTTAATTTATATGTTGATGCTATTAACGCATGGTTCTTTAGGATGGAACAATATAATATATCCGTTCATAAAAATTCCTAGATAAAATTTGGTTAGATGATAATCCATATGGACAGGTTTATAACATTATACATCAATATTCACGACAGTAATACTCAATTATTTTAGTCATGTGTCTTTCTTTTAATATTATAAAATTATAATAGAGGTATTAAATTCTAAAATAAATAATATTTTACATAATAGTGTAAAAAATCTTTAAAATTTTAGATCATGATAAAATTATAAATAATTTTTTTATATATTTAAATCTAAATGACCTTATGGTCCCATTAGTATAAAAGAAAAGATTGTAGAGTAAAAATTAATAAATGTCGAAAAATAAACACAAAGTAACATTTTTTTTCTTATTCGATAATGAAAATAATATTGAAAAAAAAATTGTCATTTTCTACATGTTTAATTTCCATTCATGAAAGAAAAAAATGAAAATACGTAGAATATTATTTTATAATTTTAATTAAAATTTTAATAAAATATCATAATTATAAAAAATCAAATGAATAATTTTATATATTTTTATTTATTTGTAATATAAGATTATTTTATTGAATTGATTTTAAGGAAAAATTATAATAAAAATATTTATAATTATATATTAAAATATATATTATTAAAAAATAAGATATATAATTTAAAAATATTATTTTAAAAAACTATTATCTTCTGACTTTCAAACCAATAAAAATATTTTTCACTTCATTTCAAATTTTTTTAATTTCCTTCCTTGCACTCTTTTTTTACAAAATTAAGATTAACAACTTGCTTAAATACTCTTATTCATAATAATTAAAAAAAATTATTGCAAAGACTAAAATAAGGATCTGTTACACACTACAACACAAAGGTATGTGTTCATTATTTTCTTTCATGTCCCTTTCCTATGTCTTATTCTAAATTATTTATCTACCTCTATAGTCTGTTCTTAGGGTTACAACTGGATCTTGTCATTAACACTACCTAAGACCTACACTAACCTTCTCCATGTTTGTTAGCTCTGCACGAAAGATCCCATCAATGCTGCGTGTTTCTTTTAAAGGTGTTATTAAGTTATTAATTTAAATTTATCTTTTTACTTTTCTCTCTTACAAAAAAAACAAATATGCTGACTTTTAGGGTAGGATATTTTAATATGCAAAATTGTTTCCATCGGAAGCATTTGTTACGGTTCTTTTGAATGATGATGTTTTTATCGCCGGCTGAACATTACACAATTTAGCGTTTCTTTTATTATTTATTAATTCTATTTTCCTATATGTTCTACATAAATTAAGTTACACTGAATATACGTGTTATCGAGGAGCATAGTTTGAAGAAAGAATGGAGGGAAAGGATGGGATTAGAAGGTCCTCTGAGGCGACGAAGATGGAGTCGTTTGAGAGCGTGTCGAAGTACGGGAGAGCGTTGTTGGCGACGCCGTGGAGGCTAGCGGATCGGGTGACGGTTCGATCCATGGACGAGGTGGAGTTGGTGGAAGTGAAGAAGCAGAGCCAGCACGAGATGAAGAAGACGCTGACGTGGTGGGACCTCATATGGTTCGGAATGGGCAGCGTCATAGGTTCCGGTATCTTCGTCCTCACCGGCTTTGAGGTCAGGAACCACGTTGGACCCGCCGTCGTTTTGTCCTATGTTATCTCCGGCTTCTCTGCCATGCTCTCTGTCTTCTGCTACACCGAATTCGCCGTTGAAATTCCCGTCGCTGGTATGTCTTTATTTCTTTTTACTCTAGATGTTTTTTTCTTTAAATAAGTTAAACCTAATATTATGTAAATAAAATATTATCTATATTATTATTAATATTATTAATTATTAAAAATAGTGAAAATTTTAATTCAATCCTATATATTCAGTTGAATAAAATAGCGATTGTTCTCATCTATAAAATAAGATTTTATCAAACTTCTTTATCATATTAAAAATAATAATAAAAGTTAATAAAAAGTGAAAATAAATATGTTCTTGAGCCTTTTTCTTCTGCTAGTTCTTTATGCATATCACGAGTTCTTCAAACCTCATCAAAATGAAATTATGAACGTTATTTTCGTATTTATGTGATTTTATTATATGCATTTACCTTTTCAATCAGTCTAGGACGATTTTCAACAAAATATTAATTATACTATCATAATGATAAGAAAAAAAAATTCAGTGTAAAAACTTGTATACAGTGTGGATTGATTCAAATTATCGTTGTTTTATATGCTTTTTTAAATAGTTATATTATAAAATCAATGAATTTGAAATAAATAACAATCTGTAATTAGATTGTATACTATTATTATATTAATTATTTATTCAAAGAAAATATGAAATAAAAAAGTTGATATCCCGAGAGATATTAAAAGAATTTTTTTCATTAAAACGTGCAAATACTAATGTATTATTGTTATAGAAATTTAAAGTTTACTATATAAAACTCTAAATTTAATTAAAAAATAACATCAACTATTATTTTGCCCTAAATGACTTAATTTATTGAAATTGTTAAACTAGTTGAAAGTAATATATTTCTTTTAAATTTATATTTACATATCTCCACTAATAAAAAAATAAGAATATTATTTGTCCCTTGTTTAATTGTTTACTTATTAACTACTTACACTACCCTTAATTATCAACACGTTTTTAGGAAACTATGGTAAATATTAGAAATTAATGAGGTACAATAATTATTCTTTCTCTAAACACTAAGTAATTAGATAAGTGATAACTTATATTTTATTAATTACATCAGATGTTAATTTGAAAATTAATAGAAAATTTTAATGTTTTGTACATATATAGGAAATGTATGTAAAAGTTTATTTATTTTTAGAAAATGATACTTTTACCACTCAAATACATACAATTCCTATAAACAACTCTATTTTAATATTATAATAATAGTTTTATTTTATTTTTATTTTTATTAAATCATTTTATAGATTATTATATTAATAAAAGTGATTATTATATTAATAAAAGTGTTTATATTAATAAAAATGAGTTGTTTGAAGGTTTGTATGTTTCTTGTCATCACTCTTTATTTTTATCCACTTTAGGCTTTAAAAAATCTTAATAATACTTTTTAGGGGGATTTGTTAGAATTGGTAGTTGAATGGATGTTTGAATGCATGCACCTGATGATTAGGTGGTTCGTTTGCGTACTTGAGAGTGGAGCTTGGCGATTTCGTGGCGTACATAGCATCCGGCAACATCATTCTCGAGTACGTGGTGGGCGGCGCCGCCGTGGCACGTTCCTGGACCTCCTACTTCGCCACTCTCTGCAACCAAGACTCCGACAAGTTTCTCATCCAGGCCCACCACCTCCCCCCCGACTACAGCCACCTCGACCCCATCGCCGTCCTCGTCCTCTTCCTCATCGGCCTCTTCGCCGTCTTCAGCATCAAGGGCTCCTCCCGCTTCAACTACCTCGCCTCCATCATCCACGTCCTCGTCCTCCTCTTCATCATCGTCGCGGGCCTTACCAAAGCCCGCTCCGCTAACTACTCCCTCTTTCTCCCCTTCGGCTCGCGCGGCATCTTCCAAGTAAAGCTCTTGAAACGAACCAAACTGACACTGAATCCATCTGCATTGCATTAAAAAGTTGAATTATTCTAAACTTTTGTTCTAGTTTCATTTCTAGAAATCAAATTATTCCTAAACAGAATTACTGTATGAAACTGTAATTTAGTTTAGTTGATGGATTTTTCCATCCTTACTTTCAGGCCGCGGCGGTGTTGTTCTTCGCGTACGTGGGGTTCGACGCGGTTTCCACGATGGCGGAGGAGACGAAGAACCCGGGCAGGGACATTCCGGTGGGGCTCATAGGGTCGATGACGTGCACGACATTTCTGTACTGCATGCTGTCGGTGACCCTTTGTTTAATGCAGAGGTTTTCGGAGGTTGATGAGAATGCTGCGTTCTCAGTGGCGTTTGAAGCGGTGGGGATGAGTTGGGCAAAGTACATTGTTGCGTTTGGGGCGTTGAAAGGAATGACGAGTGTTCTTCTTGTTGGCGCTGTGGGACAAGCCAGGTATCTCACGCATATTGCAAGAACACACTTGGTGCCTCCATGGCTTGCCAAGGTATGTAATACTGTTAGGAAATAGTACAAAAAATACTACCTGATACATTGATATAATAACTATAAAATAGATTTAATAAAAATAAAAAATAATTTAAAATTATTATTATAATATTAAAACCAATCTATGTTTGAGAAAATGCAGTTGTAAAAATGGTATTTTCCAAATACTACTGTATATATACCAAAAACTTTATTTTTTCTTGTCGGAAAATGTTGTGTTTAGAGAGTAATAGTGAAGTTATTCACGATCTTTACATGATAAACTCAGTGAACAAGTATAATACGAGTAATCCTTGGAATGTTAACTAGTTACATGAAAATATGTTGCTTAAGGTGGTAGGTCTTGTACTCCAATATTGTTTTGATCTGTTTTTTATCTGTATAACAGGTAAATGAGAGAACCGGGACACCCATCAATGCGACGGTTGTGATGCTTGGGGCCACTGCTATTGTTGCATTCTTCACAAGCCTTGAAGTTCTTGCTAACCTTCTTTCAATCTCCACTCTCTTCTTGTTCTCCCTAGTGGCGCTGGCCTTGTTGGTTCGCCGCTACTGTACAAGAGGGGTGGCTACACAGGCCAACATTGCGAAATTCATTGTGTGCATTGTTCTCATATTGGGTTCTTCTGTTGCCTCTGCGATTTACTGGGCCAACACCACAAAATGGGTTGGTTACACCATCATGGTGCCTCTTTGGCTTGTGGGAACAGTGGGGATTTGGCTTTTGGTTCCGATGGCGAAGAAGCCAAAGGTTTGGGGTGTGCCACTGGTGCCATTCTTGCCATCAGCTTCCATTGGCATCAATGTTTTTCTTCTTGGTTCGTTGGATAAGGCTTCGTTTAGAAGATTTGGAATTTGGACTGCGATTTTGTTGGTGTATTACCTCTTTGTGGGATTGCATGCGTCTTATGACATGTCGCAGATACAGAAGATGGAGAAACTAGAGAGCATGACCGAGTCAAAGTTGGATGAAGAAAATGTTGTTCCATCATCCGTGATAGAGTCTGGTACAAAAAATGAAAGCATAAGAGTTTGAATAATTTAACCAATCCATGAATATGTGATTGCTGTTTATGTTCCACTCTGTAAGAATGTGATTATCATTTGTTATTATGTGAAAGAAAAATGACAATGATAAATGGACACTCATCTAAATAATGTACACAGAAAAAAACAATTATAATAATTATGATGTAATAGGAAGAAACAGAACAAAAATATAGATATTAAGTTGTTTAAAATATGGAAATTTGGTTTATCATTCTTGTCTCAACTATTTTTGGTCTCGATCTCGTTAAAACGATATCATTTGTTTATAAGAAATAAATTTTTCCTTATAATTATAAGAAAAATATAGATTCACTTTTAAATATATTAATTATTAACTTTCGTTAATACTGATTTTCAATAACCTTTCTTTTATACTCTTAATTTAATACAGAGTTTATTTACGAGACATTTATTCATTCACCAAATATCTATATATTGATGTAAATTAAATTTTAGTAAGAAATCTTGTATTGTAACAATTTTGATATTTCAAATTTTACATTATGCCAAAAATAATCTATCTTGAATTGTAACAATTGTAAAATAGTTATATTTGTTTACTCTAATTTTAAGACAAAGATTGATGTATGTTTTAAACGTGACAATTATTAACTCTCGTTAATACTGATTTTTAACAAGCTTTGTTTTATACTCTTAATTTATTTTAAAGTTTATTTCAATAGGGATCGTAAATTAAATAGATTATATAAATTTTACTCCATATTAAAACAATAATGGAAAATCCGATCCCATTTTATTAATTTAATTAAAATTCAATCATTAACTCAATTAATAATATATATATATATATATATATATTATTAATAATTTATTATGAGAATTATAATTTATTTGTCATAACAAATAACACTAGTAATATTATAATATTTAAATATTTATTATATCGATTGAAATAAAAATATCGACATAATAAAACTGCGAGATAATAACTCGCCTTTTATTTCAATTGATATAATAAGTTTGTTGGTGTGTATTTTTATTTGTAGGAATCTTTGATAAGGAAAGTCCAAACATAATAAGATTTAATACCAAACCACCTAATTAATGTTCTTATAAATGCAATTAAGTTAAAAAAATTATTTTAATAAAAATACATCTTCCATACTTCTTATAACTGATTTTAGTGATCGATTCGATGACCAACTATATATAATCAAATCGGTCACTAAATCAATGAAAAATTTAATTATTTTTATTTATTTACATTTTTATTATATCTATTATTTATTTTCCCTATCTCTTAATTATATTATATTTTTTAGAAGTTTAACTTATTATTAGGTGATTTATTGTTATTGTCGGGATTCGAACCCGTACATTTAGAGTTGGAGGCTGAAACCTCCAACCACTAAGCTACTAGGATCTTTTAATAATAACTTACAAATAAATTATATTTATATACAAATAAATTATATTTATATACAAATAAATGTATATCCGTATAAATATAAAAATATAAAATCTATAAATAAAAATATATTTATATATTTTAATATATATTTAAATATTGATATATTTATATATTGATATTTTTATATTTTTATATTTTTACATATATTTATATTTTTATATATTTATATCTTCATATTTTTACATATATTTATATCTTTTCATATTTATATATAAAGATATTAGTTTTCTATACAAATAATATTATAATATAGTATATTATACTATTAGTATAGTATACAAATAATATATTAGTATAGTATAGTATACAAATTATTAATTTTGTAATTTATATACAATGAAAATAATATAATGGTATATTAGTATAGTATAGTATATTTGTATTCTAATTTTTAATTAAATTAAAATTATGCTAATAATGTATATTAATATATGAGGGGATAATATTGATATATTGATATATTTGTATATATATATATATATATATTTATATATTTATATATTTATATATTTATATATTTATATATTTATATATTTATATATTTATATATTAATATATTTATATATTTATATATTTATATATTTATATATTTATATATTTATATATTTATATATTTATATATTTATATATTTATATATTTATATATTAATATATTTATATATTTATATATTTATATATTTATATATTTATATTTTTATATATTTATATTTTGATATATTTATATATATCCTTATACATTTATATCTTTATATATTTATATATTTGAAAAAAAATATTAAATTTTAAAAATAATATTATATTTTTAAAAATAAATATTAGAAAAAGATTTAAAAATATATATAAATTATATTTACATTTACAAAATATTAAAGATATATGTTTATATCTTTACATATTTATATATATTTATATGTTTATATTTTTACATATATTTATATCTTTCCATATTTATATATTTATATATAAAGATATTAGTTTTGTATACAAATAATATTATAATATAGTATATTATACTATTAGTATAGTATACAAATAATATATTAATATAGTATAGTATACAAATTATTAATTTTGTAATTTATATACAATGAAAATAATATAATGGTATATTGATATAGTATATTTGTATTCTAATTTTTAAATAAACTAAAATTACGCTAAATGTATAATAATATATGAGAGGATAATAAATTTAATCCAATTACTTTTATAAATATATAAATATAAAATCTATAAAATATTAAAAATGATATTATATTTTTAAAAACAAATATTAGAAAAAGGTTTAAAAACTAGTATTATCTTAAATTTATTAAAAGTATAATTAAATCTCTATTTTCTTAAAAAAAAATTTAAACTTCTCAATTCTACATTTTTGTAAATTTTATCATTATATTATCATGTTCATTATATCAAAATGTTAAATATTTTTAAATATTAAAATTAACTTTATCAAAAATTAGGAAAAAAATTAATCCAAAAGAGTTCAAAAATATATTATAATATTATCAATTTTGAGTTTAATTATATTGTTCATTCTCAAAGTAGAAAAATATATTGTAATTATTTTAATTTAATAAAATATAATTTAAAATTTTAATACTAAAATTAAAAGATTAAATAATAATAAATTTAATTCTTTAAATTCAGTAGCTAGTAACTAAAATTATAGTTTCTCTGTTTTAAATAATTAAAATAAATATTTAAAAATAAAAATCAAAACTAGTATTATCTTAAATTTATTAAAAGTGTAATTAAATCTCTATTTTCTTAATTTTATTTGTTTCAAACTTCTCAATTCTACATTTTTGTAAGTTCTATCATTATATTATCATCCTCATCTCCTCCCATGTTCTACTTTATCTTTATAATAGTCAATATTCTTAACTAATTTATAGTTTTAATTATAATTTTTTAGTATATATTTCGAAATTAATCAATTCTAATCTATTATTTGAAAAACTAATCAATAATTTAGAAAACTAATCGATTATAATTAATTATTTGAAAAAATTATCAAATATGATCGATCATTTCAAAATCTAATCGATCAGAATCAAATATCGCTCGAGCGAGACTAGAATCGCTCAAGCGAAATACAACCCGAGAATACCAATTTTGTGCACGGGGCGTTTCGCTCGAGCGAGAATGTTGTCGCTCAAGCGAGATACAGTTTAGATAGCGGTTAAACAGGAACCGCTCTTAAAATCTCACTTAGATAGCGGTTAACCTGGAACTGCTATTATATGATTTCAATTATGATCGATCAGAATGCAATTATGACCGATCATAATGAAAACTTACATTAACTATTTTTTTTATATTATGTTTTTAAATTTTCTATTAGAGAAAACCTTTGAGAATTCAAAATGTTAAATACTTTTGAATATTAAAATTAACTTTATCAAAAAAAATTAATCCAAAAGAGTTCAAAAATGTATTATAATATTGTCAATTTTGAGTTTAATTATATTGTTCATTCTCAAAGTAGAAAAATATATTGTAATTATTTTAATTTAATAAAATATAATTTAAAATTTTAATACTAAAATTAAAAGATTAAATAATAATAAATTTAATTCTTTAAATTCAGTAGCTAGAAACTAAAATTATAGTTTCTCTGTTTAAAATAATTAAAATAAATATTTAAAAATAAAAATCAAAACTAGTATTATCTTAAATTTATTAAAAGTGTAATTAAATATCTATTTTCTTAATTTTATTTGTTTCAAACTTCTCAATTCTACATTTTTGTAAGTTCTATCATTATATTATCATCCTCATCTCCTCCCATGTTCTACTTTATCTTTACAATAGTCAATATTCTTAACTAATTTATATTTTTAATTATAATTTTTTAGTATATATTTTGAAATTAATTTCTAATCTATTATTTGAAAAACTAATCAATTCTAATCAATAATTTAGAAAACTAATCGATTATAATTAATTATTTGAAAAAATTATCAAATATGATCGATCATTTCGAAAATCTAATCGATCAGAATCAAATATCGCTCGAGCGAGACTAGAATCGCTCAAGCGAAATACAACCCGAGAATGTCAATTTTGTGCAGGGGCGTTTCGCTCAAGCGAGAAGAGTGTCGCTCAAGCGAAATACATTTTAGATAGCGGTTACACAGAACCGCTCTTAAAAGCTCACTTAGATAGCGGTTAACCTGTAATCGCTATTATATCGTTTCAATTATGATCGATCAGAATGCAGTTATGACCGATCAGAACTGTTTTAATCGATTAAATCTCGTTTCAATCGATTAAAACAATTTCTGCACAACGTTTTAATCGATTAAAACTTATTTTTATCAGTTAAAAATTTCTACACAGCGTTTTATATGATAGCGGTTTCACTGGAACCGCTCTTAAAAGAGAACTTCTAATAGCGGTCACACCATCGCTCGAGCGAAATACAACCCGAGAATGTCAATTTTGTGCAGGGGGCGTTTCGCTCGAGCGAGAAGACTGTCGGTCAAGCGAAGTACATTTTAGATAGCGGTTAACCTGGAACCGCTATTATATCGTTTCAATTATGATCGATCAGAATGCAATTATGACTAATCAGAACTCTTTTAATCGATTAATTCTGGTTTCAATCGATTAAAACAATTTCTGCACAGTGTTTTAATCGATTAAAACTTATTTTTATCAGTTAAAATAACTTGAAAAGTTTTACAAGAAAGTTTTGCAATATTTCAATCGATTGAATCGCGAAACAATCGATTAAATCAACTTAGAAGATTTTTTGTAAAGTGTTTATTGTCGCCACGATTGCAGGTCGCTTGGATTCAAGGTGGTTGAGGTTTGGGTTAGGGTTCAAGGTCAGCTGGGTTTGCGTTGGGTTTGACCGCACGACGACCGGAGTTTGGCTTCGATTAGGATTCGATGTCTGCCGGAGATGGGTTTGGGCCTCAAGTTCGTCGAGTTCGTCGAAGTTGAGGCTGGGGTTGAGTTTGGAATTCGCTTGGGGATGAACAAATGAAGGGTCTAGGTTAAGCTCGAACAAGTGTGCTCGCTTGCTGTCTTGTTCTCTCGTCGCGAACTAGGATCGCTCGCCAACTAGGTCGATTTGAGCAATAATTTTTGCGAACATATTACCCATATTTGGGGACAAGGGGCGGAACAACCTCTCGATCCGCTTAGTGCAGCCCAGGAATAAAAATGTCGGTTAATGCACGAAGAAGATAAAGAAATACGCGAAAAAGATGAAGAAAATTTGGGGCGCGAAGATGAAATTTTCGTACCTAGGTCAGATCCTACAGCGCAAAAAAAATAAAAAATTACCACGGAAAAACAAAAATAATTACATAAATTAAATATAGATTAATTAAAAAAATAAATTAAATAATAAAGTGACTGAAATAGTAACCAATTTTATGTGACCGAAAATTCGGTTACTAGACTAAAAAATAATAATTTGGTTACTGATTCGGTCACTGATAGTAACTAAATTTTTCGGTCACTGATTTCGGTTACTATTTGACATTTTTCTAGTAGTGATTATTAGTCCGACATAAAAGACCATAGGTCCGACGTAAAAGTCGTATTTTATCTATTTTTGCACCACTCCCTTGTTTCGTACAGTAAGGATTTCTTAAAATGACGACGAGAGAGACGATGACTTAAAGTATATTTCGACCATAGTGAGTAACAAAAATACTTTCATTGTGTCCCATTTATGGTGGCTAACATTTTTTTATATTTGAGGTTAGTGTTCTATGTGTCCCGTCTCCTTTTTATATTGAAATTGAATATTTTTTCACTGAATTGTTATTGATATTAAATTGTTGTAGTTAATGTTTTATGCGTTTGAATCCTACTTTTTTTTTGTAATTTGTATATTTGGGGTTTAGGTTGTTGTTGTTTTGTGTATTAGGGTTTTATGATGAAAAGAAAATGAAAAATATTTGAAGTAAGATAACTTTAGACTCGGATGTCAGATTCGGACACACAACATATCAAAACGAAGAGAAAAATGTGAAAAAGAGGGAGCAAATTCCTGGAGGGGATTTGTCCTAACAGTTTCTCCAATAAGTACATGTAATGCATAAAAGTTTACGCGGGTATAACCAGAGGTAATTGTTTTCAATATTTTTTAAGTTTATTTACCTTTGTATCTATTGCATGTTAACTAAAGTTAAATTAATGTTTCAAGTATTTCAATATTCATTCATCTCCACTATCAGGACATGATATTACAAAATAATAAGGTTTTTCGTTCAATATTTCTAGTTTATATTGTATCATGTACTTTAACATTTATGTAACTTAGTTTTTGTATTAGTTTTGTCTTTGTATTATATTGCATATTTGAATTATTGTCTATTGAAATATGATATTTGGACTACAAAAAAAAGGACAAAATTTACATTGGTTACCCCAGGGTTCGACATATATTTACATTAGTCACCCATGAAATCCGACGTAAATTTATATCTCTCGTATTAATATCAAACTTGTTCCTAATGTAAAAAAATCAAAATAACAAACCTAAAAATTCAATTTTATATTGATGTCATATTGTCTTTTGCTTCTTCCTTACAACAAAATTCTTTTACTAATAACCATCATCTCTTGAGCACAATAAAAAGTCATTATAGAAAATGTTACATTTTACAATGGTTATTGGTAACATAGAAAGACAAATTTGTTTTTCACCGATTTTCACACTTTTTATGATAATTTTTAATTTCATTGACATAAAAAAATAATTTTTTTTATAATTATTCTTAAATCAATATAGAAAATGATGATTTTTTTAATGTCCTTCTATAATTGATATTGAAAGTCTAATAAAATTGACATAAAAATGTTTTTTTTAATATACAATTAACCTGTAAATAATACTATGTAAAAAATAAAAATATTTTTTTAAAAATTGTATTTAAATAGTTTTGAAAAATAAGATTTATATAAATTGTAAATAAGATTATTAAAAATTATTCTTTTAAATACGCACTCAAATAAAATTTATGTCTTAATATATAATCAACTAATATCGTATCGTAATACAAATGAAATTAATCTTTCTAAAACATTCAAATAAATTACAACAAAAATATAAATTTAATTGCAACCTTTTAATGACAACTTTAATTAAATACATTTATAGAATCAAACTCTAAATATTATTTAATTGTCAATATTTGTTTCATAATTGATCACTTGATTTTAAAGGAAACATCAAAACAAAAACTGTTAATAATTAACGAGACATGATTAAATATTAATATTATGACATCCATATATGTGAGAATCATCAAACGGATAATTAAAAAGTTCGTTTTCTAAGATTTTATCCCCAGATGTTTAGGGCACAAGTTTTTGTTGTCATTGCTATGAATGGATAAATTGAGACAAGACGTGGTCCTCATCAAAAATTTTGTTGTTTGTTTAAATGGATATAGCCAAACTGTTCTTCGTCAACGATTCCCATTATTCAAAAACCAAAAAAGTAATATAATTTAATATTCTATTGTCCATTATTTAATAAAATTTCAATGAAAATTATTATAAAGTAAATCAATTCATGCCATTAAAAATCAACAACCCAACAAATTAAGCAGGTGAGGTATCTATATCTAGAAGAGCTGATATATAAGAGTCTATTTTTTATTATTAATTTTTTGTCTCTCAGAAATTAATTATATCATTACTTTATTTTCTTATATAAAAAAAATATCATGTTTGTTTATGATAATCAAAAAGATTCAATTAGCATAATTGGAGGAGTAAAAGGTACTCAAGTACTATTTTTCTTTTTGTAAAACCCACAATGATATAAAATTGTGCATGGAAATAAAACAATACCAGAAAGTGAAGGTGGGTTGGGTATGCTGAAATGCTTTTTAGAGCGTGTTTGGCTTTCCATATTGTAGACTAAGCATGGCTCACTTTTGAATTAAGTAATGACAAATTGTGCATTTAATTTGAAACAAATAATGCTTTTTCCTGCATGTTGTGGAATGGAGGGGGGGTTTGGTCATTTTGGAAGGTCCCAATGATAGATATGTTTCATGAAGAGTCAGCCAAAGAAGGAATCGAAAGTGTAACTTTTCAATATGAAGTGAAAAATTTCACCCTTGGCCAAATATAATGTTTGAAAATGAAACACTTCTAATTTGATGAGCCACCCATCAATTTGGACTTTCAGCATTGGAATTTAGTGTCTCATCAAACTTTTTAAATCCTTTGTTTATAATATTTCTTCCTTGTTAGAGTCTCTCCTTTCTTTCACTTTGAAATATGTCTCACTACTCTAGAATTTCATGCTTACTTTAGTTGAACTTTGGATGCAGATTAAGAAAGATTGATTTGAACCTAAATCACTTTTCAACAACTCTCAAAACCCTACGCTGGTGTGGTGAAGTTGTGTTTCGAAGATACCTGCAAGAAAAAGGTCAACCAATATCACAGCACATGCTGCAACAAATGTCCTGCGTCAAGTTGTTTTTGGATTTCATAAAAAGTGAAATCAGATAAAATGGAATGTGTGTGCTTGGTTTAGCTTTTCAGAAACTCCACACGTTTCATCAAAATTTAGGCCAAATCTAGTTTTCAAGAGGCTAATTTATAAAACTTCCATTTTTTTAATTTTTAACTCATAATAATCTAATTCGTAAAACTTTTAAATTTTTACTTTTTTTAACTTCTTTTGTAAGTTTTTTTTTTTTCATCTTCTTTTATGAAAGTTTATCTATACAACCCGAAATTATGTTTGGAAACATGTAGCAAAAACATAAATGTATGATAATTGAAGTTTTTAAATGCAATTCTTACCTCAAGAATCAAATATTTTAACATTTTAATGTAGTATTGTTAAAGTTTGAATTTACAGTTTCTCAATATCATGTTTGATAGGATTAGTTACCATATTTAAGATATTATGCTCCCGTCACATTTTTATTCTTAAAAAAAGTCTCGTGGATTGAAAAAAAAAGGGAGTATATTAGTTTTCATTATATTTGATTTGAATAATTGAATGTTTTTGTGGTGACGGAAGCATGGTGTTAGAAAATTAGTTTGTTGTTCCGCGATTGGCGTTTGTGACATGGTTGAAGAGATAAGAAGAGAAAAGGAAAGTGTGGCATATAAAATTGCAGCAACTGGGCCTTGCGTTGAAGATGAAAGCAGGGTTGTTGAAACCCAAGACACAAGTATGAGAGTCTTCTGTTTTTCTCTTCCCAAAACGAATTTGAATTTTTTTCTCTATAAAATGCTTAATCCTTGTTTGGTAGAAGGGAGAAATAGGATAAAAGAAGAAAAGTAGGTAGAAAATGAAAATGAGTATATTTGTTAGAGAGAAATCAAAAGTCATGAGATTATACATATTTCTCAACTATGTGTTTATCTTTTTAGGATGGTCCAAGTTACCCACATGAAAATTAGGTTAAACAACCATGACACAAATAATTGGTATAATGGTCCAATTTTTTTACATTAGAAAATCACATCAATTATCATTTACAAATTACAAGTCAAACTCAAAGTTTAACAACTCTTAATTCAACTTATTTACACCATATTTATATATTTTTTTTCATATTTTTTCACTCTAACAAACAAAACCAGTGGAGTCAACTTACTACATATAAATGTATCACTAGTAACAGGTATTGCACATTGTGTTAAGTGTTTAAATTTATGCATCCCTTTTGTCAAAAATCTTATAATGAGATTTTCAAAGACTGCCTTATTTTATTGACCAAACCACACATAAATCCACAACCACCCACACAAACACACACACCCCAACTTCTACTTCCACAAAACTACCACTTGAGCCTCCGTTGCGTTGCACACACCTTAGCCATTATCTTCACCATCATCATCATAATCAAAGAATCAACCTTTTTGAGTTAATAATATTCCAATGGGGAATGCCTTGGGGGGAAAGAAAACCACGAAGGTGATGAAGATCGACGGGGAAACCTTCAAGCTCAAGACTCCGGTGAGAGTCTGCGACGTGCTCAAGGACCACCCGGGGCTGGTGCTGCTCGAATCGGAGGCCGTCAAGCACTACGGCGTCCGGGCGAGGCCGCTGGAGGCGCACAGGGAGTTGGCGCCCAAGAGGCTGTACTTTCTGGTGGAGCTGCCGCGGGAGGTGGAGGTGGCGCCGCGGAGGGTGCGGTCGGGGATCAACATGAGCGCCAAGGACAGGCTGGAGAGCCTGGTGCTGGCGCGGCGGTCTGCGTCGGACCTGACGATCCTGAAGGGGCAGGGGAAAGAGGCGGAGAAGGGCGGCGTGCGGCTGAGGATGAGGGTGGCGAAGGCGGACGTGGAGAGGGTGATGCGAGGGTGCGAAACGGAGGCCGAGGCTGCGGAGAAGATCGTGGGACTTTGCATGGCCAACAACGGTCAGGTTAAACGCTGGAAGCAGGCGGAAGCCGAAGCGGAAGGAGGTGGAGAATCTACAAAAGCACGCCAGGTATGTTCATGCAAGTTAAATTAATATTACCTTAACCCCTTTTCTTATCTAAATCTAATATTCTTTAAATTATTTAAGTCAATTTAATTAGTAGCACTAAATTCTCGATCATTTATCAACATTGATTAACTCAAGTAGTCATCAACTAAGTGTTTCAGACTTTGAATTCTATAATATAATAAATCTTGTTGTTCTTCTTAATCATATAAAAAAATATATTTATCTTAAAATTTATATTAATTATTGTGAATAATTACAAAATATTTTATTCAAAATATAATAAATAGAAGAGCTAACTTAAAAAGACGTTTTGTAAATGAAGACAAATAAATTTTAAGAAAATTATTTTAGGAACAAAAACTAATGTTCTTCCGGTTTTTTTGCATAAGGAACCAATAAGTTAATATTTTTGTCCTATTGTAAGACTTTAACATGCAAAAATATATTTTAAAATCCAATAATCTTTTATTTTCTATTGTACTATTAATTTATTGCAAAAATTTGTCTTTGTATTAATAATAATATAAGCCATATTTATAGGTGAAAAAAAATCCTTAAATATATGAGTAGTATCATTAAATATTACCACTACTTAATCATTTAATAGGTTTTTCCTCACAAAATTTTGTGATAAAAAAAGCAACTTTTGTGTTTTGATTGTTCATGAAAACATCAGCAAAATTCCTTTATTTTACTATTTAGAAATATTTATAAACAAATTTAAGAAAAATAATGAAGTAAAAATTTGAAAATAGACCAAAATTCAAAATTTGTTAATTTGTCAAGGGCAAAAATACACACATAAGTATTGTTTTTATATTATATATCAAAGCATATGTATTTATATTATTGTTTGGAAATTATGTGTTTTATTTTAATAAATTCTTAAAGATAAAAATAACAACTTATGTGAAAATATTTTAGCCATATTTTTTAAACAAACCAACATCACAGTTTTGTTTCTACATTTTTATGTTTGAGGATAATAAACACGAAGCATGACATTTGAGTCAATGTTTATAGTAAAATTGATTCTCCAAATGACTAATTACGTTGACGTAGCGGGTTCAATCACCATCTAAATTTGTTTGTTTTAGTTATTTTATAAACCATTATTGTTGGTTGGATGGTCAATTAATTATAAAAAAATGTAAAACGGACAAAACTATATATGAAGACGTTTTGTTAGCCATTTATGTATATATATATATATATATATATATATATATATATATATATATATATATATATATATATATATATATATATTTAAAGATAGCACAAAACAAATTTATTAATAGTTAATTTTTTTATTAAGAACATTAGTTTGTTAAACTTTTAGTATATAAAATTACAAATTCTTTAAACACTTACGGTTTTTATGTACGACTTGTCCATGAATGCTTTAGTTAGATATAGAAGATGTATTATGCTGATCCAAGTTGCATATACATCATAATTATAATATACCTTCCTAGAAACGTTCTAAATATTTTTTTTAAATATTATTTTCATTTTGATCTTTTTTTTTTCTTTATTATTTAATATATCCATTTTTTCTTCCCATTATTATATATTATTTTTTTTATAACATCAAAAACGAGTGTACAAGTACAAACGACAATTCGTTTTTATGTATAGTTGGAGATTTTATGTTTTCATTTTATTAATTATAACATTAATTACAGCGCTAGTTTGTAACATGCATTCATTATATGATTGCTCTAACATAATTTATGAGTCTTTTCTTATAAACTCTTTACACCAGCAATCATTTCATGAAATTTCTTGGGGTATTTTTATTACAAATTTGAAGAATAGGTAAACTTAAATATGTTAAATTTATCTCAATAACAAATATTATTATTAGATCTATCCAACTATTTTTGTTTGTTATTTATCAAGACAATGATAAGTGATGAAAAAAAATTGATAGTTAAATCTCATATTAAATAAAAATATTTCTCATCTTACTAAATCAATTTTTTATAATTAAATTAAGTATTAATATGGTATCAAAATTAACTCTAAGTTAAATATGACAAAATTTCTCTTGAAATAAAAAAATATAATATAAAATCATCCTTAAAATTAAAAAGATTTAACTCCTTCAAAATTTCAAAATGAGAAAATGTGTTAAAAATTATTTTAATGTGATGAAATCGTATATTAATTAAATATATATAATAATATTATAATATATAAATGAGTATAATTTTTTTCTTCTTTTTCCTCCTGTACGGTTTGAATAAGAATAATCTGTCTATCTAACCATTTCTAATAATAAATTATATGTACTTAAATTTAAGAGTTGATTATAAGATAGGATCAATTAAGAACTACGTATAAGTTGCCACATATTGAATCTACATCATAAGTCGAAGAGCAGTGGCATAACCAATAACCATGTGAACAATTGAAAGAAAACACAACAGATTCCTTTACATTCACACTCATATGGTTGACGACAAGCAAAAGTAATGGGCAAGCAGTTTAAACATCATTTCACGCGTACAATATATTCATATCAAAGGGTTAAGCACCATGCATGTCCTTTTCAAGTTGTTGGGTCTGCACAGAAATAAAGGTTCTTCTACAGAAATTGTATAATCTTTGGTTCAACACAAACTTGCATGGTGACTATCATTGTTTATGAAAGAGTGGTTGCGAAACTTAAATTATTCTATGCACATTTGTATTTCTGTACTATACTATTTGTGTGGCTAATATATATGTTTCATATCAACATGATCAGAAGAGTAAAAAATTGATGACTTTTGGATTATCAATTCTTGCAGAAAAGGGTGAGTTTTATGCCAATCAGTGAAGGAGGGAGTCCTATAGCAGTGGCTTCGTGACCTGTTATATCACATCAATCAGCCTTGAAATATAAGAGTAATGAGCTTCATGGTGCTTCATTAGTTAAACATAAGAGTATGTTGTTTACATTTTCATACTATATATATATATATGTGCATGTGTTCACAAACTGTTGCAATAATTACATGGGTGTTTGCTTATATTAGTTTCACTGAAGAGTAAATTAAAATGTAGTTCAGTACCTTTTAGCTGTGAATAACAGTGAATCTGTGTGGTTTTAATGACCTATATGTATATATATATATATATATATATATATATATATATATATATATATTATATATATATATATATATATATATATATACATATATATATATATATATATATATATATATATATATATATATATTTATATATACATATATATATCGGGGAAAAGTGTATACAACATCATGAATCTTCCAAGGTGATTTTTCATTAGTTAATTATGTTATATATGAAAATTAAATATTCTAATATTTGTTAGTGCTATTATAATTTTAATAGAATTTATTTTTATTTAAATATGTTTAATATGTAAAGTGTTTTTATCGATATAGAATGAGTCTATATAATAAGTTTGTATAACCATTTTATATTGTCATTCAATTACATATATACCATTCTATTAATAGGAATGTTAATTTTTACAATACTTCAAATTTTTGTATATAAGAAAAAATATGCATCAAACTGAAAAGGTAAACAAAAATTGCTAAAAAGTAATACAATTAGATATAAAAAAAAAAGGTTTTAAAAATCTTAGCTATAAGTCCAAGAACATAATTTATTTTACAACCATTTTTTTATAAACAATATGAATTAAACCTTTATGTCTCAAATATGCTATGAATAAATTTTTTTAACCTAAAAGGTTAATTTGAGTATGGAGTCTAGAATTAGCTTAAAAAGTAGAGGCAAAACATAAAATAATAACACTTTGAATTCTTAGTAACTAAATTGGTCTTTGATTGATGACCAGAGGGCAACAACCCTCACTTGAGAGATACTTTATAACGTCTGTGACATTTCCAGGTTTGATTTTATTATTAAATATGTATAGATAAATAATTATAATTTAATTTTATATTTATAAATATAAATTTTATGATATTGAGTATAATATTACATTATTCCAAAGTGTAATTATTAAAAAGACTTATTTTTTAAAAAGGTTTGACTACACTATGTGTGAATTGACCTTATCTTTTTGTAATGAAAGACAATATCAATTTAAATTTTGTGTATATATTATGCGAAGGAAGTATTAGTATATTTGAATTTAATATGAAGTCAAATTTTAAGGTAGACTTGAATAAGTTTTAAGTGATTATAAATTAAGTCCATTAATATAACTTATCTCGTGGAATAATAAAAGGAGTTTTTTTTTTTTTAAATAAAGGTATCTTTTAAAATTTAAACGTAATTTCTTCTCATCCAGTTAATATATATGTAAATTTTATATTAAAATCATAAGTTGTAAATACATTTTTTTTTTGGTAAATCTTTTCTATTTTGGTAACTAGGAGTATCTACTTGTGAAACCTTTAAATATACATAAGTATCATTTATTGCCCCTAAATAATCTTAATGGGTAAAATAAATGCAAATGTGAACAATAAGTAATATATTATGTTGAGTTTATCCAATGTTAAGTTGAAATCCGAATAAAATTAAATGTTATTTAGAACATGAGGTTGTACATCAATTTCAAATGAATGAATTAAGAATTTAACCTTCAATATCAATATTTCATTCAACAAATTATGAAAATGTTTGAAAACATTTTTCCAAATCCATGAAAAAAAGAATAATATACTTCTATTCTTCACGTTATGTCCAATAATGTGAAGAAATTTAATTACTTGATATTCTATCATTTATCGAAATGAATTTTTTACCAATTCAGCTACTCTTAATCGTTTGTATAATGTAATGAATATTTGATATCTTATCTAAATAATGTCACGAGATTGTTTCGTGTGTATTAAGTATGACGACAACTCTTATCGACAATGCTCATTTTAAGAAACAAACTCTAAAATATTCGAAATTGACAAACCTAACACATTCAACGATAAATAACAATGTAAAGCATCATCATTACTACTTCGATACAAATTTTTATTTGTTATTATAAGTATTAAATTAAAGTCACCTCAAAAAAATCATTATCAACATTTTCATAAACAAAACACTTTAATCCATCATTATCATGTCTATTTTTATTTGTTATTATAAGTATTAAATTGAAGTCACAGCAAAAAAAAAATCATTATCAAGATTTTCATAAACAAAACACTTTAATCAATCGTTATCATATGCCATTTTACAATTCGTCTAAGAAATATATTCTATAAACCCTAAACATTTTATTAATTATATTTACCTCTGTACTAATTAAATCTAAATTACAATATTAAAAGTCTATACTACAGGTAATATTTTATGGTTCACGTTATAATTATAATTAAAATAATTTAATATTAAATTAATGTTAAGTTTATAAATTCATATTCTCCTCTATTTTTTTAATTTAACATTTCATAAATTATAATTTCAAACCTAATTTATTATATATTATTAACAATATTAAATTTAATTTTATTATACAATTTAATATATTATTAACAAACTTTATTTTTATAATTTTAATTTTATTTTGTTACAATTTTATTTTATTATACTACTTAAATGGTATTTTAATATTTAATTAATGAAAATCTAAAATTTGATAATATCTATTATATATTTCAATATTATATTTTTATGTTTATATCAATATATAATATTACCTAAATACAAGTTTAATATAAATCATACTTTTTATACCTAATCTATGTAATCTAACTTAAAAAAACTACTCTAATCTCAATCTCACTTCAAACTTCAAATATTTTTTATATAATCTAACTTAAAACCCTACCCTAATATCATTACAACTTTTTCATAATAGAATCATATTATTGATTTAGTGGATAACCAAAATTTAATCCAACAATTATATCAATTAACTTGCTTCTGGATTGTAACACCAATAACACCACACAACGACCACCACCAACATCACCAAAACAATAACAAGATGGCCGCCACCATGAACTAGTACCAAACATGATGAACAACAATCATGCAACATCACAACTACACTATCAACAAGGTCAACCACTACCCACAACACGACAAACACTAGCACCACACAACCAACATGATGAGCACCACCACGACCATGGATGAAAACGAACACAAAGTACCAACAAGACGACAACAATTATCATACGAGTAAAAAGAGCACCACCACCATCGTGAGACGACGAACACTACCATCACGACTCACCAATCACCATGCACAACCTACAATGCAATACAATACAACACACATCAATTGTCGAACACACAACTTAACTTACACTTGAGAATCTATTCTAGCCATCAAAAATCGATTATGCATTGGGTGAGAATTGATTCTTGGAGAATATATTCTAGCCATAGAGAGAATGAAAAATGTGTGAATAGCATGGACGATTCTCCATGAGTCATGATCAATTCTCTACAACTATTATAACCCATAATCATTCTCTCTACCAATCTCACCCACCAACACATACACATATAACCAAACCACAATCATCAACACCCAGCTGTGAAAGAAAATCACCAATACCTAGACTCAATGCGAACGATTAATGTATTGAATATGACCAACACCTCGCAACTTAAACACACAACACAAAATTCTTCTCCAACAGGTATTTAATGGTGTCCAACCTTCTGTTAGGAACAAGACAATAATAAAGGAAAGAATGAAGGAGAGAAAAATAAACGACACAAGAATTTTAACGTGGTTCGGCTAAAATATGTATGCCTACGTCCACGACTACACTAGGAAGTAATTTTTATTTCTGTGTATATCTCAAACTTTACATAGGGTTGCTTATATAACAAAATAGAGAACCTCATCTCACAATCCTAATCGATGTGGGACTAAATCAAGCACCATAATACTAACAATTCTCCCACTTGGAGTTTGATTTACGTTACCACCTAGTGTAGTGCCTTCATCATCAATTTGTTCGAAGGCCAGTTGAGGCAATGCAAAGCCTCAACTTAGTTGTTGTAACGAGTCTTGGTCAACATATCGACGGGATTCTCTGCACTGGAATCTTCAACAAACTCAAGTCTCCATCATTTATCGGGTTTCGATAAAATGATACTTCAATTCAATGTGCTTACATCCGGAATGAAGGATTGGATTTTTAGCAAGACAAATAGCACTTTGACTTGTCACTAAACAACGAAGAACCATCTTGTTCTCTTCCTAATTCTTTTAGAAGGTTCTTCAACCATATCATCTCCTTCGACTGCTTACGAGATAGCTACATACTACGCTTCGGTGGTTGAGAGAGACCCTTCCTTGAAGTTTAGACTTCCAACCGATAGCTGTACCACCCAATGTAAAAATATAACTTTGTTGTGCTCTTTCTACCGTCAAGATCACCTCCCAAGTCCGCATCGAGAAAACCCCTGTAAAATGAGATTACTTCTCTTGAAAGACAAATGCATCTTTGAAGTGCCTTTCAAATATCCGAATATCCACTTCACTCCTTCCCAATGCTCCTTTCCGGGATTTGATAGAAATCTGCTCACAACTCCCACTTGCATGTGCTATGTACAGTCCGGTGCAAACCATAGCATACATCAAGCTTCCTACTGCAGATGCATATGGCACTTTAGACATGTGACTTTCTTCTTCTTCGTTTGAGAAGATTGCCTCTTTGAAAACTTTAAGTGAGTTCCCAAAGGTGTATTCCTGGTTTTAGCATTCCCAACATTGAATCTGCTAAGCAATTTTTCTATATATTTTTCTTGAGATAAGTTCAAAATACCTTTATCTCTATCTCGGGAGATTCTCATACCAAGAATTTGCTTGGCTGGACCAAGATCCTTCATTTCAAAGCTCTCGACAATTGTTTCTTCAACTTGTCAATTTCTGCCA